TGTTCTAGTTGTATTTAAAGAGCCCCACTGGGAATAAGACTTTGGAGTCTCAGCAGTGGAGAGGATGCTCTGCCTGAGAAGTTCTCAGTTGGGACCTTGAAAAGTTGCTCTGGGACTCCCCAACTAATTGACCTCAGGTGTTTCCCCTGATCTGGTGATGTATTTTCTTCTCTTTCTCTCTCATCTTTGCTTTTGCTTTCATATTATTTTTTTTAAAGAGTATTATGATTTGCCAATTTTTTTTAATATTTATTTTTTAGTCTTCGGCGGACACAACATCTTTTTGTTTTTGTACGTGGTGCTGAGGATCGAACCCGGGCCGCACGCATGCCAGACGAACACGCTATGGCTTGAGCCACATCCCCAACCCTGCTTTCATATTATTGATAAAACAAATGCTATCTAATATCAAGAGAGTGTTTTTATTATCTATCAGATCCGACCTGCCAAATTCAGCGGCTGCATGCATGCAGAACATTACTGGATTGATTACAGGATCCACACTCAATATGTGCCAAATTCTCAATGAGTGAATGGGAATGCTGACCCAGAATCTAGTCATGGGGGAATCAGAACACCCAAGTAGATGTGAAAGAGGGTCAGACTCTCTCCTGGAGGATGGAATCTGTCAGTAGGGGTACAAGAGTAAAGGGCCTCATGTGCAGACAGAGTTAAAGTTAGGTGGGAGAGAATCGAAAAAATACCATTTTTTATTTCCTCTCCAGGGAGGAGTTTAGGTGAGGTGAAGAGATCTGGGAGAAGTCATGTTTACTCATTTCTCCTTCTGCCTAATTACTTTCAATGCAATTGAATTCTAAGATTAGTAAAACAGATTTTATCAGATGAGGAACTGAAAACCAGAGATGAACAAGATTTCGTTCCTGCCTTTGAGTAGTTCACAAGATAAGGTGTGTTATATATCAAAAAAACAGGTGGGGCTCAGGTGTGGTGGTGCATGCCTGTAATTCAATTGGCTCAGGAGGCTGAGGCAGGAAAATTGCAACTTTGAGGCTAGGCTCAACAACTTATGGAGACTCTGTTTCAAAATAAAAATTAATAATGATAAAAAGGGCTGGGATGTGGCTCAGTGGGTAAGCACCCCTGGGTTCAATCCCCAGTACCAAAACCAATCAAACAAAAAAACAATACCACCAAAAACAGGTAGAATGGGAGGGTTTCAGACCTAGAGACTTTTCTCCTAAAGAAAGTTGCCTTGACTCAAGCTACGTTTTGGCCTCTCCCCTCTTCCTAAGTAGTTCCTGAGATGACTTGAAGCCCGTGATTCTCAACCCTGGCTGCCCTTTGGAGTCATCTGGGGATGTCTTTAAAAGACATCGACTATTACTAACTGCCACCAGGCATGGTGGTGCACTCCTGTAATCCCAGATTGGGAGGCTCAGGGAAGAGGATCATAAGTAGGAGGCCAGCTTCAGCGTGAACAACTTGCCTAGACCCTGAGTCCCATCCCCAGAGATTCTGATTTAATTGGTTTAGTGAGCTTTGGGATTTTTAAATGCTCCCTAGATGATTCTAATGTGAATCTGGCTCTAAGAATTGCTCCAAGGAGTTCCTGGGGCTCTGTTTAGAAATCCACTTCTTTAAGACAGGAGTGGGGTGGTGCACACTTGTAATCCCAGCAGCTCTGGAGGCTGAGGCAGGAGGATTCTGAGTTCAAAGCCAGCCTCAGCAATTTAGTGAGACACTGGGTCTAAATAAAATATTTAAAAGGCCTGGGGATGTGGCTCAGTGGTTAATTACCCCTGGGAAGGAAAGGAGAGAGAGAGAGAGAGAGAGAGAGAGAGAGAGAGAGAGACAGACCAACCCACTGCTTTAATCCAGCCCAGAGGACTGAGACCTTTTTGCTGGTGGGGTGGGGTGGGATGGGGTGGTAAATTGATCTGGGCCTTGAAGGGCAGGAAAATCTTGACCCCAAGTAGAGAGGCAGATGTGAAAGGGGAAGAACATGGTAAGCAAAAGTCTAGAGGTGGTCTGAAACTCATGGCAAGCTGCAGTTTGTTTTATAATAGAGATTGGAGGAGGAGGTCTAAGATTTGAGTACAGCTGGGTAAAGACCTGGGGGTGGGAATGATGAATAATTCATTTTGGTTGCAAATGAGGTTGAACAGAGAAAGTTCAATGATTTTAAGTATGGAAGTAATTGAAGGCTAGACTGAAAATTTATAAATAATTGAATAAACAATCCACAATCATGCAGGACATATAATTATGACTATGATTATTATTTTGAACTGCTGGGCCTTGGGCACCCAAGGTAAGTACTCTACCACTGAATTACACCCTCTCCCTTCCCCCACTTTTTTGAGGTGAGATCTTGCCATATTGCCCAGGCTGGTTTCAAACTCCCAGGTTCAAGACATCCTCCTGCCTCCTGAGTAGCTGAGACTACAGGCATATGCCACTGTGCTAGCTTTTCAAAAGATTGTTGAGCAATGCAGTTATATCTAATAGCAGAGTTGAGAGAGACTTGAAGTAGAGAGACACGTAGGAAGTAGGAAGAGATGCTGGGGAGCTGTTGCGATGATCCTAGATGAGGTAATGTTTCTGGCAAGGACTGGGGAAAAGTGGATTCAAAATATATTGTGGCTGTAGAATTTACTCAACTTGACAACACACCAAAAGTAAGGCAGGAGAATGATGAAGGCAGCAAGTTTTCAGGCAAGGAAGGGTGACTGACAAGATGATGCTATTAAAGGAGATGGGGGTTTTGGTGGCATTTCATCAACTTGGTTTGGAATATGTTGAGTTTAGATAACCAGCAGCATGGTCCATGTGACTATGTTCCTCAGACACTGGAGGTATGTCTGTTTGTACAGGACAGGTTGGAGCAGCATTTGGTTTGAGATGATGGCTAGAATCGGAATCTCTGGGGTGAGGAGCTTGGGGGAATAGCATGTGTTTAGCTTAAAGTCCTGGGTTCAATCCTCAGCACCAAAACAAACACACACCAACAATATTGATGGGATGAACTTTTTTTTTATTTATTTACTTTTAGTTTTCGGCGGACACAACATCTTTGTATGTGGTGCTGAGGATCGAACCTGGGCCGCACACATGCCAGGCAAGTGCGCTACCGCTTGAGCCACATCCCCAGCCTGGGATGAACTTTTAAGGGAAAGTCCCAGAGAAGAAAAAAATCCACATGGTCACTTAGGTAACCGAGGAGAAAAAGCAAGAAGAAACCTGGGCACTGTGATACATGCCTGTAATCCAGGTTATTTGGGAGGCTAAGGCAGGAGTATCATTAAATTTAAGGCCAGCTGGATGCAGTGGAGCACACCTGTAATTCCAGTGGCTCATGAGGCTGAGGCAGGAGGATCACAAATTTGAGGCCAGCCTCAGCAATTTAGGGAGACCCTAACAAACTCAGTGAGACCAAGTCTGAAAAATAAAAAAATAAGAAAGGCTGAAGATGTTACTCAGCATGAAGCACCTCTGGTCCAATCAGAAGAAGAAGAAGAAAAGAAGAAGAAGAAGAAGAAGAAGGAGAAGGAGAAGGAGAAGGAGAAGGAGAAGGAGAAGGAGAGGCAGAAAAATAGGAGGAAAAGAGGTATGAGAGGGTACAGAAAGGCAGATTCTGTGAAAATGCCATTGATTTTGGTCCAGGTAAACTCTGGTCTTTGGATGCCATGTGAGAGAGAAGTTTTGGTAGATCAGGGAGTGAAATAATATTTTGAGGAGTCAAGACATAGTATGAAATAAAGATGACACAGACACATCTCTGATAGCAATACTCCTCTGTTCAAGAAAAACAGAAGATTAGAGGATGAAGAAATGGAAATTGAAAACATGGACTCCTTTTTGAGGAAGTTTGGTAAGGAAGGCGCATTAACACAGACATGATGGTCCACAGCAACTTGGAAGGCTAAGGCAGGAAGATCACAAGTTTAAGGGCAGTCTGGGCAACTTAGATCCTGTCTCAAATAAGATTTTAAAATAGTTTCAGGATGTAGCTCAGAGGAGCCCTGATTCGATTCCCAGTACCAGGGGAAAAAAACAAAGACAAAAACAAAACAACAACAACAAAATACAAAAAAGGAAGACACATTAAACCTGAACTATCCCAAGGAGAACTCATGATATCCATGCCCCACCTCCTCCTCCTTCCATGTCTCTGATCTCAGTGCATGGCTTTCCTTACAGATTGTAAGTTCCATGAAGTCAGGGCTGCACCTGCTGTTGAGACAGGGGTCTCACCAGCATGCTGTATGGTGTCTGCATGTTTCATGGATGCAGACTTAGGGTAGGACCCGTCCTCAGATGTACAATGAAAGACACCAAACCCATTCCTTGTAGTACTCCTGTCTCCCCTGCATCCCAACACAGAGGCCTCCTGGTTAACTTCAGGAAAGCAGAAGGTAATTCTCCTCCAGACTATTGACCTCCTCTCTGGGGCTTCCAAAGCTCTCTGCATTCTTTCTTTCCCCTGTCCCCTCAGGTGGGGCTCTAATCCAAGTTGTTTGCCACACTCCAGCACACAGGAACAATTATGGGCAGGTAACATCTCCTCCTTGCCCCTGTTACCTACCCTATCCTCAACTAACTTCCTCACCATGGTCTGCCACTTTCCTTACTCCTGCCTTCTTGGAGTTCTGAGGCTAGATCTCTGCGTCTCCTTGTAAATCTTTCCTCTCGGAAGCCCTATACCCAGCCTAGTAAGGAGTGGAAACGGGGCCTTGGGGAAAGCAAGACCCATTGAAAAGAGAATGGCATCCGTTATCTTCCCTGGTGGATACCCAAGGACCTATTCTCTGTTCCACATATATGTCTGTCTCCTCTCACTTGTCTTTGTCAGTCCGCCCCCCACCCGCCCCAAAGAGATAGAGAGACGTGAAGAGGGAAACCAAAGGGGCAAAATCTTCGTGGTGCCAGAGTCTTTGGAATTGCGGGTGATAAATCCAGTAAGTCTCTTTAATATCGTCTTTCAGTTCACACACACGCACACACAGATCAGAACAAGGCAAGGACCGCCAACGGGAACAAGGAGGGGGGCCGGAGTCCTCCCAGGATTGGGAGGTTCTTATCCTGGGATTCCCTTCAGCCCGGCTGCCCAGGAATAAGATGAGTGGAATGGAGTATTTACAGAGAATGGGTGCTTTTCTTCTGGGTGAAGGGTCCTAAACCAGAAATCTCCCAAATCACATTCCAAAAATCACTAAAGGAGAGTTCTGGAATTTGGGGGAAAATATGAAGAGAATCAAGTGGAGGAGAACGAAACTGTACTGGCAAAAATTGGGAGAGAGCGTGGGGGCGTGGCTATCCCGGGTCGCAGCCCTCTGGCCTGAAAAAGGGGAAGAGTCTGTTTGTCAGTGGGCTAGGCCTAAAGCCACAAACCCAATCACCTGACTGAATCGCCCCGTAGAGACGGAAAAGAAGGCGGAGCCTGCCGACCTGAAGGCGGGGTTTTGCCAGAGCTGGGGTGGAGCCTATAAAGGAGGTGGGACTTTGGAGACAAGATTCCAGGCTGGGGAGCACTGGGAGCACGGCTGGGGGCGCTGCACTTTGATGGGATGGGGTATTGGAGCCCGACTTGTAGCAGGGATCCCGGGAAGCAGCGTCCCTGGGGTTGTGGGTTTTGTAGGGGTTCCTGAGGAACTGGATTAGGAGCGTGCTCGCAAGGCCAGAGATTCCGTGGAGGCGGAGTTTAGGATGTTTGGAAGTCCGGCTGCCCCAGAGGCGGGTGTGCGGGACGCCTATTGGGTCCGCAGCTTGACTGCAGAACGAGTCTGGGAGGTTGAGGGGCGCAGAGTGGGGCTGGGCAGAGGGAGTTTTTAGGGATCCCAGTAGTTTTCGTGGTGCTGTGCGGCAATGATGATGACTACGGTGAGGATAGTACAGAGCACCATGGCTGCGATGCCCACCGCCAGGGAGATGAAGGAGAAGTTCCGAGCCTCGCGTGAAGCGATCTCCGCAGACACCATGTCTCCGCGGGCCAAGGCCGTGCGCACCTGCGGGGGAGGGGTGGAGGACCGCGGTCAGGGTGCCGCTGTTCTCTAGCATGCCCCAGCCTTCCTTTAAGATGGTTCCCTTAAGGCCCAACACTCCCAGAACTAAGAATAACGGCGTAAACCTAACCCCGGCTCCCCACACCTGCACTGCCTTGAAGATGGCGATGATGCCCGTAGGCCAGAAGCAGCAGATGGTGGTCAGCACTGCAATGGGCATATAGTCGTGTGGCGGGCGCCTCGGCTCCAGCAGGGCCAGCCCTGGGCCTTGGGGCGGCGGGGGGAGAGTGGAGGTCACTCCAGTTCCCCCTGGGGTCCCGCCTGCATAAGGCTGCAAAAGGAAAATTGGGGGAGGGATGTTGCTCCGACCTTGTTACAACCCACCAGCGTCCCGCCTCTGGCAAGTTGGTTTTAATAGCACAATTCTTATCCGTTGCAAAGAAACTGATTAACCACTGCCCTTGTAGGACACCCATAAATTTCGCCTAGGTTCCTCTCCTCCATTCATTGCATCATTTTGGATATCTCCGCATTCTTCCACTAGCTACGGACCACAGGCACTGTCCTGGCCTCACTTGGGACCTGTTCCTTCCCTCCAGACACCTCCCTGGCCTCCCCTCCCTCATGCCCCTTGGTTTCCAGGTTCCATTTCTTTCCCTCCCTCCAAAGGGTTTCCTTCTTTCAAACTTCCTTTTGATCTCTAGGTTCCCCCTCTCAGGTCCCGACCTCTGACCCCAAAGGACCCCCAGGTCCTTCACCTCCAAGCCTTTTCTTAGCCCCTTCTCTCTCTCTGGGACGTGTCCCCAGAACACAACCTGGTTTTCTGGTTCTATTTCTCTATTACCTCGGTTCCCGGTGTGCCCCCAATTTCAAGTGCTGTTCCACTGTGCCCCCCTCTTCCCAGGCCCCAGTCAGCTCCCTCACTCACCGTGCCCACCGGATAGACCGGCACGTAAGCAGTACAGGGCTGCAGCTGCAGTGGGTAGCCGGGCGCTACGTAGCCCCCCAGCGGCAAAGTGCCCACCGCCCCCGCGTGCGTGGGCACCACGAAGCCGGGAGCCTGAGCAGTCGGTGCAGGCGCCGGCGGGGGTGGGGCAGCGGCGGCGGGCGGAGGCGGGGGAAGTGGGCCCTCGAAGCGAGTCTCCTGCAGGTAAGGGTCGGGTGGCATGCGGGGCAAGGTAGCGCAGCCGGGTGGGGGAGCCCCGGCGGCCGGACCAGGCGGGGCGTGATGGGGGGGCCGGGGTAGTGTGGCTGAGGACGAGGGACCGCGTTGAGCTGTGGCCGAGGAAGAGGCCAGGCCGCCTGCGCCTAAGCGCGGGAGGGTGGCGGTGCCAGACTGGTGGTAGTGGTGGTGATGGTGATGGTGCGAGGAGGGGGCTGCCTGTGGGGGCGGGGCGGGAGGTTCGGCAGGGGGCTGGGGAGCATTGTATGGAGGTGGAGAAGTGTGTGGAACTGAGTCCGGGAGGCCTAGGGGCAGTAAGCCAAGGAAAGGATAAGTGGAGAGAGAAGACAGCAATAAGATCAGAAGGAGACAGAGATGAAGATAGGTAATGGGAGAGGAGGAGGGAGGTGATAAGAAGTCATCTCTCATTTGGGGGTCAGGAGAGGGGTTGTATCTAGGCCATCTGCCTCCCCCCCTTCAATCTAGTTTTGAGGTCACAACTGTCCCCTCCTCCTCTTCTTTTTAAGCAATACGCACTCAGCTTTCACCCACAGACACAATCTTACTTTTAAGCTATGGCTGCCTTTGGACAGGCCTACCTGAGCTAGTCCTATGTGTGCACATGTGTAAACACGCATTACTATGTTCACATGTGCTTACTTCAGTAGTTGTATACACACATGTGGGATGACATGTTCCACTCTGCCCTGGCCTCTCTGGGAACCTCAGGGCCATTTTTTAGTGCCCATAAAGAAGAGTCTTTTGAATTTGACTCCCTTGACAACCCCAATTTGATCATGTCTCCATATTTCCCAACTGGATGTATCTATGCCAGTGAGCCACTGACTTTCCATCTGTCACTTCAAGTGATGCTATCCCTGCAGTACCTGGCTGATGCTAAGCTTCTCTTTACCTCCCTTAACCTCTCAACCTGCCCTCCTACCCATGTTGTTGGCAAGAGGCAGAGGCTGAGACTGGAAGGAGGAAAGGAAGAGAAGGGTGGGAGATAGAGGAGGAGGTGGGAGTGTAGAGAGCTGGAGAGAAGGGGAATGGAACCGAAACACTCACTAGGGAGGGCTAAGGAAGGGGGTTAAGGCAAGGGAGGGGGAGGATGAGGAGAAGATGGAGGGAGGGGGTTGTTATTGTTGTTTATTTTTTACCTGACTTTTCCGATGTCATGATTGCAGTGTGGCTGGGACAGCGTCCCTGCCCTGGAGTCAGTGGCCCCTGTCTGGCGCTGGAGTCTGGGTCCGGGATGGCGCAGCCAGCGGCAGCAGCACAGAGATGGAGAGATGAAGACTGTGGCGTGGGGCGGAGGGAACTCGGAGGGGGGGGGAGCTTAAAGGGACCGAGGCAAGGGAGGGGGAAGAGCCTCAGACGTCCCCCAACTCGTCTCTGTTCTTGGACCACCTCTCTCCTCCTCTCACCCTGGCATTCAAGCCCCCAATTTAGGCTCCCTTGGAGTTGTCATGGAAACAGGAGGCAAGACCAGGCAAGGAGGGTGGGACTTAGGGAAGGAAGGAGGGAGAAAGAACTCTCTAGAGTCTCCCCCTCCAAGGCTCGCTGTAGTGATTATATTGTGGGAGGAAGCCAGCAGGTGCTCATTGGATTCAGTGTGCCAAGTTCCCTTTACATCTGGTTCACCCAGGCAGGTCTTCTTAGTTTCCCTCAGCTCCCTGCAAGGTGCCAGCATCTTTTCCCAAATCCTTGGCCCTAGTTTCTCTTTAGGAGAGATAATCTTGTGTGAGAGAGAATTGTGCAAAGCTGAGACGTGAGATGGTCTGAAGAGTTCCCAGGGTACACAGTCTGAACCTGAGATCCCGACAGTAAAGTGGGAGGCTCAGGTCTATTATTTGAGGATAGCTCCTCTGGCTGGAGGAAGAGAGATGGGGGTAGGGGGATGCATAGCTACCTTCTTCCAGGGTTAAGGAGCTGAAATGGTTTGGGAGCAGGAAGGGGTGACTTAACTGCTCATTTCTGGCAGGTCGGTTTGGAAATGTATGCTTGTTGGTGGTGTGTTTGGAGTTCTAAGGCAAGTTAGCCTTCAGCTACACCCCACCCCCACATACACACCCGCCAGGAGGAAACTCCACCTCCAGGGTCGACCTAAAGCATAGCGATTATTGCTCTTTTTATTTGCTCTTTGCATCTTGGAAGCGAGTGGGTGGGGAGGAGGGATGACGAAAGGCAGTCTATGGAGATTTACACCAGTTGGGCTTGTTGCAGAAACATGGCCAGAAAAATCATTGTGTCCCCCGCCCCCCCCCCCTTAAGATTAATTAAATTCCCAGCCTCCATCTGAGGCAGTCATTTTGGGGCTGTGTACCTCCCGGTCCCTGTCCAAGGAGATCAGTAAAGAAGGCCTCGCCCCAGTCCCATGCCCCAGATTTAGATCATAGCCTTACCTGGTACTTCTGGTTTTTCAGGTGTTTGCGGGAGCCCCTAATGCCTTGCTCCCGAATACCTTTCTCCCACCTCGTCCTTCACTCTACACACTTCTGAGCATACATTGGTTTTATTGGGAGAAACAAATCTAGACCCAGTAGAGACCTTGTGAAATAGGGAGAAGCTCAGACAGCTGACGAACCTTTTCTCAAGGGAAACGCTTTAAACTAAGTAAACGCTCAAACAAATAAGGGCCCTAACCCAGGCTTTGGGGCATCGGGTTGGGGTCACTAATAGGTTGAGAGGTGCAGGCGCCTGGAGCTCGGAAGTCTGGATTGGGTGGTAGGGTCTGCGTCGGGAACTGCCTACAGAGTTCGGAGGGCCGGATTGTGGGGTCGCTCAAGTTCAACGACCAGGCAGCAGCATCTTCCAGGCGTGAGTCAGCGCAGCCCCAGGGCCCTCCGCCCCTTAAGGGTGGGTTGTTCCTTGGGAGGGAAGTAGATAGAGTAGGGCGGGAGAAACTGGGCCAGGCTGCACTTAGCTCGAGGGGCCTTGAGGACTCTCCGCGTCTCTGGAGACAAGGGTACTACACGCACTTCAGGATGAAGAGTTGTAAGACGCTGACCTGGGGCGGCGGGGGCGGGCGGGCGTCTAGGGGAGCGCATGGCTGCCATCAGCCGGTCACTCCATCTGGCCACTCACCCAGCGTACCGCAAAATACTTTTTCCCAGTCCGTCCCCCACCGCCCCATGGGGACCAAGAACTTCGTGTTCGGCTGCGAAGCCAAACGCGTGGATTGGGAAGCCGAGCGAATCAAGGCAGGGGAAGTCGAACCCTTGGGTCGCTGGGAGCAGCCGGGCCTGGAGTGGCCTTCTTTCGATTCCCAGGATACATTTGCTGCTGCTGCTTCTCCCCACTGGTCTAAATGGGTTGCTCCGCCTACTTCCTCCCCACCTTCCAGAGCGCATTGGAACGTTCCATTGCCTCTCCGGTCCCCTGCCTCTGTTGCAGGGGACGCTCGCACGGTTGCCAGGGAAAGCCCGGACGTGACGGCTTTGCGCGACCCCGAGCAGCCCTCCCCCCTCCCACCCGTCATCCCCCTGGCGCTTTCTTCTCTCACGCTTTCCCTCCCCCTTGGGTTCCAGACTAGGGAGAAGTAAACATCTGGCTGAGTGAGACCTACAGACCAGGCCAGGTGGGAGTTTGCATTCTTCAGGGGGCCTACGCTGCTGTTCAGGGTCCTGTGGAACGCTGGGTTGTGCCTGGTGGTGGGGTTGCATAAAGAAGATCCTGGGCCTAGGGACCGAGTCCCTGAGCGCGGAGTTGGGGGCGGGACTTCTGGTGAGCGTTGGTGCGTCAACGCGGTGGGGGTGTGTGTTTGTTGGGGGAGAACTGGAGTAAGTTCAAAGTAGGCTAAAGGACCTGGTGTGGGAGCAGGAGGGGGAGGCTTGATGGCTGGGCATCTGTTCCGAAGGTAATGGGTGTTGTCATCTACCTCATGGGCCCTCATTCTACCTTCTTAGGCGGGAGCATGCTGGGGCTCTGGGGGCAAAGGTTCCCCTCGGTGTGGGTCCTGCTCCTGTTGCCATTCCTGCAGCTGCTGCTGCCTGCAGTCCCCGCGTCCCACAGCGCTTCCTACAAGCCGGTCATCGTGGTGCACGGGCTCTTTGACAGCTCATACAGCTTCCGCCACCTGCTGGAATACATCAATGAGGTCTGTCCGGGGACACTCAGTGGAGGACATTGGCAGAGTTTGCCTTGACTGGGGAGGAAGTGGGTAGCTGAAAGCCACCCCCCCACTCCCACGTCTCCTGCCTGCCAGTTCCTGCCATCCTGGCATGGGGATAATTGGGGGACGGGAATCCCCGGTTCTAGCAAGCACAATAGACATGTGGATTTGGCCAGGGATAGGTATGTGGGGGCTTCATAGTCCATCCCCAGTGGTTGTATTGTCCCTTCCCACAGACACATCCTGGGACTGTGGTGACAGTGCTCGATCTCTTCGATGGCAGAGAGAGTTTACGGCCTTTGTGGGAACAGGTACAAGGATTCCGAGAAGCTGTGGTTCCCATCATGGCAAAGGCTCCTGAAGGGGTACATCTCATCTGCTACTCCCAGGGTAGGCAATTACCCATTCCCAACTCCTGATCAGTGTCTGAGGGATACTTCTTAGTGTCCTCAGTACTACATTGCTGAACCACAGGCCCTAGCCTGAGCCCTTCTTTTTTGACTTAACTCAGCACCTGGGTCTTCTCTCTCTGTGTCCTGGATGGGAGGGAGGCTCCCTGCACTGCTGCCCTTACTTTGTCCATTACCCCTGATTCTTGGATTTCATGATTAATAGGGGCAGTTGAAAGTATCCTGGAGTTAAGAGTCGGGAAGCCTTAATTATAATTCTGTCACTTACATGACACATGACCTTTTGGCCCAGGGTGTGTCTGTTCTCTGATCTCCTTTATGTTCAGTATGGTGGTGATGATGGGGTGTGGGGCAAAAGACAAGAGCTGTTGACCTTGCTATCCTTCATTTCCTGCCCATTATTGGTGTTCTGCCTATAGGGGGTCTGGTGTGCCGGGCACTGCTCTCTGTCATGGATGACCACAATGTGGATTCTTTCATCTCACTCTCATCTCCACAGATGGGACAGTATGGAGGTGAGTGGGCACTGTGGGCTGCGTAGAAGGCCCCAAGTTTTGGAGGCACAGAGGTTTGTGGTCACTTGGCACTGCCATTCTTTTGCCAGACACAGACTATTTGAAGTGGCTATTTCCCACCTCCATGCGGTCTAACCTCTACCGAATCTGCTATAGCCCTTGGGGTCAGGAATTCTCCATTTGCAACTACTGGCATGGTGAGTGGGGATACTGAATAGGGATACCAATATGGTTATTACCATAACCAATAGCAATGACAAAAATAGTGGTAACTTCTGTTCACTGAGCACTTATTATCTGAAGAGGCATTATTCAAAAATGTTTGATGTGGCTGGGTATGTGGCAGCACATACCTATAATCCCAGCAACTTGCAAGAGTGAAGTAGGAGGACTGCAAAATTTGAGGCCAACCTGGAAAACTAGCATGACCCTGTCTCAAAATAAAAAATAAATGGGATGAGGATGTAGCTCAGTGATAGAGTGCCCTGGGGTTAAATCCCCAGAACTGGGGGGCGGGGGGGAGACCACCACCAAAATATTTCATGTGTGTCACCTTGCCTCAGAGAGTACAAGATACAAAGATCAGCCAGACTTTTCTGTGATGTATGTTGAACAGTACCTGGTTCATAGTAGTGGCTAGATATAAGTGCTTTCTATTGTGTATACAATTATTATATTGCTATCCACCTTGAATATGAATGCAGTCACCTGACTGGTTTTCCAGTCTTTGGTCTTGTCTCCCTTCTTTGGTTCTCTGTCTTCCTAACTGTTGTTTACTCCCAGACCCTCACCATGATGACTTGTACCTCAATGCCAGCAGCTTCTTGGCCTTGATCAATGGAGAAAGAGACCATCCCAACGCCACTGGTAAGATCCCATGTTCCTACCCATCTCTTTAGCTTCTTTGATCCCCTATATCCTTCTATCCAACCTGGCCTGACTCAGGTTGTGGCTAACTCACTCTCTCTTCTTCCCACTCTGCAGCATGGAGGAAAAACTTTCTTCGTGTGGGTCGCCTGGTGCTCATTGGGGGTCCTGATGATGGTGTCATTACTCCCTGGCAGTCCAGGTAATAAGGAATGTGTGAGCTGAACATTGGCTAAAGACACATCCAACCTTCACCAATCTCTATCTCCTGCCTAGAACTGGCTTTTCTTCTCACTGTTCAGTTAGTGCCACCCCCTATACCTATACCCCTATATTCTGTTACCCAAATGTAAAACCTGGGAGTCCTATTCTAACCCCTATGTCTAGTCAGCCACTAAGTCTTGCTGAATTTACTTCCTCTACCACTCACCTCCCTTTGTAGATTTTTCCCCCCAGTGGTGAGGATTGAACCCGGACCTTTTCCCTTGCTAAGCAAGTGCTCTACCACTGAGCTATACCCCCAGTTTATTTTTTATGTTTTTAATTTTTTTAGTTGTAGTTGGACACAATTGGACACAGTACCTTTATTTATTTATTTTTATGTGATGCTGAAGATTGAACCCAGCACCTCATACATGATAGGCAAGCGCTCTACTGCTAAGCCACAACCCCAGCCAACCCCAGTTCTTGTAAAAAAAACTTTTAATTTTGAAATAATTATGGATTCACAGCAAGTCCCAAAGATGGTATAGAGAGGTCCTATGTACACTTGACCTAGTTTCCCAATGGTTATATCTTAGGTAAACTAAAGCACAATATCAAAACCAGGAAATAAGCTGGGCATGGTGGTACGCGCCTGTAGTTCCAGCACTTGGGAAGCTGAGGCAGGAGGATCAGCTGAGCCCAGGAGTATGAGACCAGTCTGGGCAACACAGCAAGACCCCATCTCAAACCAACCAACCAACCAACCAGGAAGTTAACATTGGTACAATGTATGTTTGTGGTTCTGTGCCATTTTATTATTTCCTACCAGCACTTTATTTACCAAGACTATTGTAACACCTCCAGCCTCATCTCTCTATGGCACTATGTGATTGTCTCTGTTGTAGGTCATCATGAGTGATCTGAAATGTCACCTGAGTTACCTTACTTAACAAATATTTATTGAATTCTATGTGCCCAGCTGCTATTCTGGGTTCTGGGAATGCAGCAGTAAATAAAAAAGAAATCACTGCTATTATGTAGCTTACATTCTAGTGGGTAGAGGAAGTAAATTAGACTAGACTTAATTAGATAATAAATGTAAATATATATATCAGGTGGCAATAAAGGAAGGCAGGGGAGGCATCAGAGGATGCTTAGGGCCTGTTTTAATGCTCAAAGAAGGCATAATGGAAGAGCTGCAACTTGAGCAGAGGCAGAAGGAAGTGAGAGAGGGAGTTGTATAACAGAGGAGGAAGAAGACCCAAGCAGTACCTGCAGAGGGCCTGGGGCAGGTGTGAGTAATGAGGCTGATATAGGAAGAGCACGAAGAGCTCATGAGAGGAAGAAAAAGAGGTAGTGAGGACCAGTTGTGTTGAGTTTTTGCAGGTTAAAGTAAGGCCTTACTTCTTTATTCTCTTTCTTTTTTTGTATGTGATAAAATATAGATAACAATAGGTTGGGGATACAGTTCAGGGATACAGCACTTGTCTACCATGTGTCAGGACCTGGATTTGATCACAAGCACCAGAAAAAAAAAAAATAGGTAGTAAAAATTACCATTTTAGTCCAGGCAGTACATACCTGTAATCCCAGTGACTCAGGAGGCTAAGGTAGGAGGATCACAAGTTTGAAGCCAACCTTGACAATTTAGTCTCAAAATAAAAAGGGCTGAGGGGCTGGGGATGTGGCTCAAGCGGTAGCGCGCTCGCCTGGCATGCGTGCAGCCAGGGTTCGATCCTCAGCACCACATACAAACAAAGATGTTGTGTCCGCCGAAAACTAAAAAATAATATTAAAATTCTCTCTCTCTTAAAAAAATAAATAAATAAAAAGGGCTGGGGGTATGCCTCAGTGATAGAAGGCCTCTGGGTTCAATCTCCAGTACCGCATACACAAATAAACAAACAGGTATGGTGGTGCATACCTGTAATCTGAGCTACTTGAGAGACTGAGGCAGAAGGAGTGCTAGTTTGAGACCAGCTTCAGTAACTTAGCAAGACCCTGTCTAAAAATAAAAAATAAAAATGGGCTGAGAATGAAGCTCAGTGGTGAAGTGCCCCTGGGTTCAATTCCCAGTACTTTGAAAGAAAAAATCCTATTATTATCTTCTTTTGACATTTAAGGAAACACAGGGCAAAGAGATTAAATAACTTGCCTACATTTATAGTGTTAGTAAGTGGTGAGGTCAGGCTATCTGACTTTTTTTTAAAAATTTTTTTTGTTTAGTTGTTGATAGTCCTTTATATATTTTTCGTGGTGCTGAGAATCGAACCCATTGCCTCACACATGCCAGGCAAGTGCGCTACCACTGAGCCCCAGCCCCAGCCCAGGCTATCTGACTTTTTTTTTTTTTAATATTTATTTATTTGTTAGTTATTGGCAGACACAACATCTTTGTATGTGGTGCTGGAGGATCGAACCCGGGCCGCACGCATGCCAGGCGAGCGTGCTACTGCTTGAGCCACATCCCCAGCCCTGGCTATCTGACTTTTAATCACAATGTTTTACTTCCTCTTGATAAAGGAGGTATTCTTTATAGGACAATGAGGACAAGTAACATACTGAGACATACACTTGGGGAGAGTGTGGCAGAACTGGGGTTCAAATTCAGGCCTGTGTGTGTGTCCCTACCACTTTCTTACACCTTCTACAATATAACGCCAGACCCCCAGACCTCCAGCCCAGCTTTCCCATGTGCCCAGCTGTGTCTCTGTGGCTTTGCTTTTGCTGTTTCCTTTATCTGGATACCCGTCCAGGAGCACCACAGGGAAGTTTTGTTGATGCTGTAAAAACTAAAGTAATGGTCTCTTCTCTGATCCCACAGTCCACCAAACTTAAAATCATTAGCATTTGTGAAGTTATTCACAGTGAGGTTCCACTCAGTGCCCATGACAGTTAAATACTCTTTAATTTAAAAATGTGTAATTAATCCTGAGAATCACACAAAAAAACTATTTTAAAAGAAATTTTATTTTGAAATAATTTTACACCTAAGAAAAATAAAGCCAGGCATTGTAATGGCATGGTATCCAACATACCAAAGACATTAAGTCAGGAGGATTGCAAGTTTGAGGCAAATCTGGGCAACTTATTGAGACCTATCTCAAAATTTAAAAAAAGAAGAAAAGAAAAAGGAAAAGGGTGGGCAGGATGTAGCTCAGTAGTAGAGTGGTTGCTTAGCATGTGGAAGGCCCCAAGTTTAATTCCCAGCATGGAAGGAAGGAAGCCAAGTTAGTACAAAGCATTTCTTTTTTCTTTTTTTTTAAATTCTTTTGAGACAGGGTCTTTCTAAATTACTGAGGCTAGCCTCAGACTTGTGATCCTCCTACCTTAATCTCTTTAGTCACTGGAATTACAGGCCTGTGCCATTGCACCTGGCTTGTATACTCTTCACTTAAATTTCCCAAATGTTAACATTTTACCATGTTTACATTAACATATTTTCTCTGTCCCCTTAAATATATGTATATTTATGCATATATGTTAATATTTAAATATATTCAACATTTACATATAAATTTTTTGTGTGAGCCCTTTGAGAGTATTCTGTAGACATGATGTCTCTTTACATCTGTATATTTTAGTGTGTCAGGCTGTATTTCCTATAAGCAGGATGTTCTTTTATGTAACCACAGTAGTTTTCAAAAGTGGAAAATTAATAGAGACAGTAATGTAATTTTTTKGGGGGGAGGGGTGTGGTTATTGGAGATTGAACTCAGAGGTGCTTAACCACTGAACCATATTCCCAGCCCTTTTATATTTTATTTAGAGACAAGGTCTTGCTGAGTTGCTTAGGGCATACTAAGGTTGGCCTCAAACTTACAATCCTCCTTCCTCAGCTTCCTGAGTGGCTGAGATTACAGGCATTCACCACCATGCCTGGCTGTCCTCAGACCTTTAAAAAAAATTAAAAATTTTTATTTTTACATATATAGATGGACACATATCTTTATTTTATTTATTTAGTTTTATGTAGTGGTGAGGATTGAATCTAGTGCCTCACATGTGCTAGGTAAGCACTCTACCACTGAGCCACAACCCCAGCCTCATCCTCAAACCTTTTTAAATTTCACTTTTGTTTTACTTTTTGTGGTGCTGTGGATTGATTCCAGGGCTTTGCACATGCTGAACAAGCACTCTACCACTGAATTATACCCCTGGCCCTCAAATTTTGAGACAGGATCGTGATAAGTTGCTCAAGCTTAACTCAAATTTGCAGTCCTCCTGTCTCAGCCTCCCACGTAGCTGAGATTGCAGGTATGCGCCACCACACCTGGCTCTAATTGTCCTTATAGGGGAAAAAAAAATCAATACAAGTTCAAACTCAGGCCTGGGGGTTACATTTAGTTGTCATGTCTCTTTAGTCTCTTTTAATCTGGAATTGTTCCTCGGTCTTTGTCCATGACATTGACAGTTTTGAAGTGTATTGACCAGTTGTTTTGTGGAATGTCCTTCAGTTTGGGTTTGTTGGATATTTCCTCATGATGAGATTTAGGTTATACATTTCTAGTGAGAATTCTACAGAAATGATGCAGTACCCTCAGGGCATTACTGCATGAGGTATGTGATATCTAATTAAGTTTTTTGAGTGTCCTTCCTGCTGATTGTCTCCCCAGCAGGCTGTAGGTTCCTAAAGGACCCTAGACCACCTTGATTATTTCCAGTTTTTGATATCCACCCTCAATCTCTTTGTAGCTTCTTTGGTTTCTATGATGCCAATGAGACAGTCTTGGAGATGGAGGAACAACTGGTGAGCCCCTTGGGATTACTCCCCCTCTCTTCATCCACTGTCCCACTCATTCTGGAGTCCTTCCTGCCACTGACTCCTGAGCTGAAGGGTTCACCCTATGGGGAGGGGGCCTAGGACACCAACAGTAACTCAATTTTGTCTCTTTTTGTGTCTTTCTTCCATGTTTCCACGCCCTTTGGCCTACCTGGAAGGTATATCTGCGGGATTCTTTTGGGTTGAAGACTCTCTTGGCTCGGGGGGCCATAGTGAGGTGTCCAATGTCTGGGATCGTCCACACGGCCTGGCATTCCAACCGCACTCTTTATGAGACTTGCATTGAACCTTGGCTCTCCTGAGGACATCCTCAGATGTCTCCAGAACTCCCCAGCCCAGAGACCAAGTGGTGGCCTTGGAAACCAGATGTCAGGCTCTGGCATTGGCAATGACCACCTCATTGCTCTCACACTGCCCCCACATCAACCAGGGCTCCCAGAACCCCCATCCTTTGCTCCTCCATGAATGACAAGTCCTGGTCCCCCTACCTCATGTTTTCTAGTTTGGGGGTAGCTCCATGCTCTCCCTTTCTCCCAAGACCGAGGTTGGGAAATGAGAACCAGGTTTTTAACTTGTGGCTGCTCCTGCTGCTGCTGCTGCTGCTCCTCTGTATCTGGCTGTACAGGAGGAGAACCCAGCCCCTGCCCACCACAGGGGTCTCCTTCCAGGCCACTCAGGACATTTTTAGCTTATGTTCTCCCCATGTTCCCTTTTCCTCTGAACTTCCCTGTTGTCAGCCCTCCCTACCCACAAGAGGGACACCCATGAGTGGGGTTCTGAGGCTCCCCTATGGGGACAGTTCCGTTCTTGAAATGTCAGTGTTGGGGACTATCTGTGGCCTGCGAGGCCCATCTCAGGTTTTGGGATCCCCCAGTCCCTAGGATCAGTGTTGGGGAATCCCTGGGAGCCTAATTTCTTTGAGGCCCCAGCCCCTCTTTTAACTACCCTTGTATGGGTATGTCCCCTGTATTTATGGAAATAAAGTTCCATTTCCTCAGAGTGGCTTGGCTTATTTCCAGGTGAAGGGGACCTAGGCTCCTCAAGGAGGGTGGGAATGGAAAGCCTGGGGCCTGGGTGCCCGGATGCTTGGGCTGGGGTGGGGACCCCCTTGGTGTTTCCGTCTTCTCAATGCCCATTCTGTGTGGGTTCCTGATTCTCTGCGGGTTCTTTCCTGCTGAAGACAATTCTCTTCCTGTCCCAGCCTAGGATTAGGGGGCTGAACCCTAGGCTCCAGTGGTTTGGGCCTCAGTTTTAGGGGTGGAATGTGCCTGCCACCCCCAGGCTAGACGAGGAGGCTGAGGGTCAGGGTGGGCATTTGTTGTGCCCCTTTTTGACCTTTGTAGGCCAGAGCTGGATGAGGGGCTACACAATGAGCCTCCTTTTCCTTGAAAGAAGGAATTTTGGCTGACACAATAGGGCCCTGTCTGCTCTGGCATGGAGGGTGGTGGCTGACTCAACTCTGTGCCCCCCAAGCCCTAACAAATGTCATCAAGAGATGGGGGCACTTTTCCCCTTAGTTCCTTGGGCTGCCCCCCTGCCCTTTTGACAACTTACTTTTATTTCTTTTCTCAGCTGATCTTGCCTCTTCTCTCATGACTTGATCTGCTGTTTCTTGCCAGCCTGCCCTTCTCCCTGCCCCCAATTCTCCAGCAGTCTGTCTTGGGTTGAAGTAGGGCTAGGGAAAGGTCAGAGGGTATTGGTGGTGTTAGAGCTAGGAGTCTCTGTTAATTTAGAAATCCAGAATTTGGGGCCCTCATAGGGTTAGGAAAATTCTTCTAGGGAGCTCTATGCTAGAGTGGGGGTGAGAGTTATAGGACTTGACCCCACTGAGCTGATCAGGCTAGAACTAAGGAGGAGGCTTGTGGGAGGGGGTAGGAATGGGAGGCCTCTGTCTGGCCTAGCCCCTCCTCTCCTTCCCTGCCCAGAGGGCCCACCCACCAGTCTGAGCTGCTGCTGCTGAGGCTGATCTGCCTGAAGTCTCCCTGGAGAGAGAGGAAGCCAGGTTGGAATGGAGGGGGGGGGGCAGATGGGGAGGGAATGTCAATGAGTAAGGGGGGGAGTTACTCAGAGCCTTAAGAGTGAATATGAATTGGGGGGCATTGTCTGAGTGAAAGGTGTGTGTCCAGAATGTATTTGATGGTGTGGGTGCGGAAGGGTAGAAATATGTTTATGGTATGGTGGTTCCAGGAGCTTGGATTTGTATGTAAGGTGTGAGGGTGTATAATTGGGGTTTTGAAAATATGAAGATTAAGTTATAAGACAGCATGTTAAGGAGGACCATGAGGGGAGGGTTAACCATGTGTTTGTCCCTCCAGGTTGAGCAGAGTATCAGGAGAGGATGTGTCAGAGGGGTAGTGGAGGGAGTGTGCTCGGGGGGAGCCTGTATGATGCTGAATGGATCCGGATATGCTAAAGATTATATCAGTTATATGTACACACAATTGTATACAGTTCTGATGGCTAGTGTGTAAAAGTGAATGTCTTAAATCCCTTAGAAGGCATCCACAGATGGAGAGAGAGGAAGGTCATCCATTAACCTCTTCTTGTCTGTAGCCCACAGAGTCTGGACTCAAAGAGAATCATGGGGTCCAAGGCTGAGCTGTGCACATTCTTTGGTGGACTTTCATTCCTCCTGCTATTGATATCAGGCGAGGGAGCCAAGGGTGTATCCCTCAAAGAGAGGTGACAACAGAAGGGGTGGGGCCTGGGTAAAGTCTGCATGTGAGCCTTCTGCTGGGAGTGGGGTTTCCTAGAAGGCAAAACAAAGTTGAAAATTCAGAAAGGGGGTTAGAGGCTGTCACCTCAGGGGTGCAGGATCTCAGTGGCTCCTTGAGGGAGATGGTTCTCCTGGCGGCCTAGGATGAACCTGACCCGCTCAATGTCTCCCACCTCCTCCTTTGGCACGGATGCAGTCAGGGGGTCTGCTCCCAGCAGACGCTGGTGGTCCCGCTACGCTACAATGAGTCCTACAGTCAACCGGTATACATGCCCTACTTGACCCTGTGCGCTGGAAGGCGCATCTGCAGCACTTACAGGTGAGGGATGGGGAGCTTGGACTCTGGGATCTCTCAGTGACCCCAAAGAATCTCTACCAGATCCATATCTGAGGTTTGAGTCTGCTGCTGTGTTTCAGGACCACCTACCGCGTGGCGTGGCGGGAGGTGAGACGGGAAGTGCAGCAGACCCATGCCATATGCTGCCAGGGCTGGAAGAAGAGACATCCAGGAGCGCTCACCTGTGAAGGTGAGATCCTGTCTTCCAGGCCTTGCAGGAGGTCTGCCGATGGGAGGCAGAATATTGGGGAGCTGAGCTATAGGTTTGGACCTGAAGCCCCACTCCCCCCCCCCCCCCCCTGCAGCCATTTGCGCCAAGCCTTGCTTGAACGGAGGCGTCTGTATTGGGCCGGACAAGTGCGAGTGCGCCCCCGGCTGGGGAGGGAAGTACTGTCACGTGGGTGAGTCAGCTGGCCCTCCCCGCAGCGAGTGGGAGGGGCATTGGTGGCCTTCCCACCCACTCAGACGCCAGGCCCTGCCCCCACCTCAGCACTCTCTTCTTTCCTATAACTAGACGTGGATGAGTGTAGGACCAGTGTCACCCTCTGTTCGCACCGTTGTTTCAATACCGCCGGTAGCTTCACTTGTGGTTGCCCGCAGGGCCTGGTGCTGGGCCCCGATGGACGTGCCTGCGCAGAGGGGTCCCCGGAGCCCCCAACCAGTGCCAGCATTCTGAGCGTGGCGGGTAAGTATGGGCCAAGTGCAGGAGAGCGCCAGGCAGCTGCTGGGGCCAAGGTAGCAGTCAAGTTTTCGCTCTTTGTCCTAGTTCGGGAAGCCGAACAGGACGAGCGCGCCCTAAGGCGGGAGATTCGTGAACTGCGAGGGCGCCTGGAGGGGCTGGAGCAGGTGAGTGAAGGCGTCTAGCGCCAAGCCCTCGGGCCAGGAGTGACCAGTCGCCTACATCCTTAGGTATTTCTTCCTTTGCAGTGGGCCGCACAGGCTGGAGCTTGGGTACGGGCAGTGCTGCCCATGCCACCCGAAGAGCTACAGCCAGAACAAGTGGCTGAGCTATGGGGCCGGGGTGATAGGATCGAATCTCTCAGCGACCAAGTGCTGCTGCTGGAGGAGAGGCTGGGCACCTGTGAGTCTTCTTGCCCCTCCCCACTCAGACCCCTATCCCAACTGCCCGAACTCCTCCAGAGACCTTCCAGGTTCCGAATTCCCTCATTCCAGAAACCTCTCCTCAAAGTTCACTCTTTACTACCTTCCAGGATATCTCCATTTTTCTCCTAATCTGGGACCCTGCCTCAGTCTGGGTGAGAGAAGCAGTGTGGGCCCCTCAGACTGGGGCAGTCCCCAGAGACTTCAGCCATGGTGTCACACTATCCCCTTGTCATTAACCAGGCTCCTGTGAGGACAACAGCCTGGGCCCAGGACTGAATCGATAAGGAACTTCTAGAGCACCCAATCCCCTAATTTATAGAAACTGGACCCCACTAATCCTCTGGGATTGGCCAACTGGGAGCTGCAAATAAGACTGCCACAGAGGAGCTATGAGCCTGGAAACTTTGAAGAGCTGAAGAATGGGCAAAGGCAGGCTGTTAGCCTGCCCATTTCTTCCGGCTGGGGGCAGGTTGTCTGGACAAAGCCTGTGTCTTCAAATCCTTAACAAACATGGCAAGAAAGCACCCAGATCTCTCTCTCTCTCTCTTTATTTTCAGTTGCTTGCTGTTATCCAGATAATAAAAACCAACCATGAAAAACTGGGTGCCAGCCTCTCCTTTTGCTCCTAGCCCACCTCCTGGGCTGAGGAAACAGGACTGGAGTAGGAGGCAGGGAGTGGCCGATGCCACCAGGAGGAAATGAAAACTGGCTCAGAGAGGGGGAAGCCTCAAAAGAAAGAAATAAATTAAACAACCTCCTCTCCCCTCTGGCCAGGGTCCAGTTCCTTTCCCCAACTCCCCAGGGTTCAGTGAGTGCAGAATCTGATATCTGCCTCTTTCCCCTGTGTCTGGTTGGGATGGTACAGGGGACAATAGGGGACTGGGTTGGATCAGGACTACTGAAGGACTGTACCATGGGGACAGGGGGAAGCAGAAATGTGAGACCAAATTGGCATCCAGGAGTGTGTGCTCAACCCTGGGCATCTTGGCAAGGGAGGGATGAGACCTCTGAGTTAGAAGAGTCCAGCCCCTACAGATAGGGGCTCCACGGGGAGGGAGGATGAAGGTGCTGAGGAAGATTCCCAGGATGAGCCTGGGAGGAGTGTTCCAGGTATCAGCTTCCAGCCAGAGTGAGGAGTTGTCCCCACAAATGGATCAGTCCACTGAACCCATGAACTTAGGCATGGGGGGATGAATTGTTCCACAGACAGGATGAGTCTACTGGCCAATGTGGGATGGAGAGGGAGAGAAGACAGCAAAGGAAGAGTCCACTGGGGATGGGATGGGATGGAATATTCCCCACCCTTGTGTACAATGAGCCACTCAAGTTGAAGGGGAGGCAACTATCCCACAGACAAGATGGCAGGAGGTGAGGATCAGAATGAAGACTGCACCTAGGCAGGAGAGTCCCTGGATGGGGCCAGGAAGGGATAGGGAGTGACAATTGTACGTACTTTCACATCAGAATTTGAAGATTCTGAAGAGGAGAATGAATGGGGAGAAAGGAAATGAGGAAGAGTGCCCCTGCTTTAGGGCCAATGGGTTGGTAGGTGTGGGGCAGAAGATGGGGACAGATGGGAGAGAAGCTCACAGCCGGGCTTCGCCCATTCCCCCAGGCTTCTTCAGATAGTCACCACCACCCCGGCCATCAGTGGAGATTTCCCGGAAAATGGTGAGCATGGAGTGCCGGACTCTGTCAGCCAGAGCAGGGACATCATCTGGTGTCAGCCCTTCTGTGGGCACTGGTGGCAGCACCCGTACCTGACATCGCCCTGGTGAGATGAGGAGCACCATTATGGCTTGTTCTCCCAGGATTTTGCCCACAGGTAGTGCCCAGCTTCTGAGCAATGCTGCTACTCCCTTCCTCAATCTTGTGGGTTTCTTCCCCTAACCCTGGGCAACCGCCTCCTGATTGCCAGCTGCCACCTGTTTTTTGAGGCCCTCCTGTACAAAGCCTTCCCTGAACCTCAGTCCAGATATCTCCTATCACCCGGGTTTAGCCTTCACGGTGGAGGTTTATTGACTGCAGTTTTGCATATATAGACTATCTTTCCTGACAGATCAAAACAGCCCCTCTTAGAGACCAAGTACTGCCCACCCAACAGAGTATGGTGGGTGCTTAGTAGATACTTTTGCCTGATGTGGGATCATACATGGGATATTCATGTGGGTATGTCTCATGGCTCTGTCACTGAATGATCCCCTGCTCACAGGGACATACCCTAGCCTCTCCAATGGCTGTTCTGGCCACACACTACCCCAGACCTGCTCAGAGCCCTCACCCGAGGTGAAGCGGCGCTCCTTCTTGCAGTAGAAGTCTTGATAGGAGGACATGACTATGGGGACAATGGGAACCTGGAAAAGGGATAAAGTGGATCAGTCCATGGCTCCCTGAGACCAACCATTGCCCAGAGAGGAAGGAAGGATGGGGGCTGGGGACTGAGCAGTAAAAGGCGAAGTAGTAGTCACCTGGGCCTGTACTGCAAGATGGAAGGCGCCACGTTTGAAGGGCAGCATGGAGCCATTGTGATTTCTTGTTCCCTCAGGAAAAACCCAGACTCTTACCTGGTAGAGGAAGAGGATCAAGGAAGATATGCATATATGGAGGCATCAGAGTGGGTGCAATGCTATAATGAGGCCTGCCTGCCCTGTCTATCCATTAATTTATAACTGTTCCATTCCCTAGTTCCCCAAGCCCCCATTTCCCCAAAATGACTTACGTCCTGGGTAAGCAGGGTCTGGGCAACCTCAGACATGACACTGATAGCATCCCCTGTGCGCTTCCGGTCAATGAAGATGACTCCTGCCAGCCAGCAGGCCAGCCCAGCAGAGCCAGCCCATAGTAGTTCACGCTTGGCAATGGGAACACAGCGGCCTGGCAGTACCTCCATCATTCCTTAAGCAGGCATGGGGATGGGGTAAGGATCAGGGTAGAGGCAGAGTGCCACAGCAGGCATCCCACTCCACCCAGGTCATCACCCACACTAGCAGGGACTGGAGATAAAGGGAGGAGACTACATTTTACCCATGTAAAAGCAAGGGTGACTAAAGGCATATGTACCCTGCTAATGAGGGCAGACGTATTCTGGAGAAAGAAAACCTGAGGAGGGAGCAAGGGAGCAACATCCTAGAAGAGAGGAGTTGAGGACCTTTAAAAGGAGCAGGTTTGTGGCAAAGTGCCAGGAGGGAGGGCATGTGCCTAGGAACGGGGTCTCACCAAGCAGGTCGAGGGAGCTCTGGTGGTTGGAGACTACAACGTAGGGCTGTGAGGGAGGGAAGTGATGGGCCCCTCGCACCTCCACTCGGATCCCATACAGGTATTTGACGTGGAGCAGCATTAGACGCAAGATCCTGTGGGGTCACGGCAAAGGGGCCCAATGGGATTCACTGATGTCCACCTGCCTGTCTCAGTTCTTCCCACCCTACTGTCTTTCTGGCCATTTTTGCAATTTTCTCCCCCTTCCATGTCCCTGGGCTTATTCAGTCTATTCTACACGTACCATGCTGCTCCCTGAATCTACCATTCACTTCTCACCCTTGGGTTCCCTCATCACCCATCCATCACCCCTCGCCCCTCACTTCATGTTCTCAACGTTGCGTCCTCGCACGGCACACACAGGGATGGCAAGCACAGCCAGGAAGAGGATCCAACCGTTGTAGAAGGCCATCTTAAAGAAATACTTGGCACTGGGGCTGCAGAACCACAGGGTGGGCAGCAGGAAGAGAAGCAGCAAGAGCAGCAGCAGCAGCACCGTCCATGCCCCGGGCCACAGCTCCATTCTGGCCACCTGCAGAGAATGGGGCAAAGGACAGTGGCCTGGTTTCTGGAGGGGAGGAGAGTGGAATGAGTAAGGCACAGAAGGAAAGGTTAGGGGGTATTATCAGGACAAGGACCAGAGATACAGAATGAGGTCTGAGCTCCTATCAAAACCTTCCCAGGAAGCCTCTCTAGGACGGGGAACTCAAGATAGTTGTCCCCACCACCTCCAAGAGGGCTCTAGATACACTGAGACAAGAAGATCTGAGACATGGATATCTACAACTCACAGATAAATGAGAACAAAACAACAAATCTAGTGTGGTGGTGCACGCCTGTAATCCCAGTGACTCAGGAAGCTGAGGCAGGAGGATCTCAAGTTCAAGGCCAGCCTCAGCAACTTTGTGAGACCCTTAGTAACTTAGCAAGACCAGTCTCAAAATAAAAAATATAATAAATGGGGATGTGGGTCAGTTATAAAGCACCCCCAGATTCAACCCTCAGCACCAAAATAAATAATAAACAGAATCAACAAAAACAATGATAGCTAACACTTGTACTGAAAAGATAACAGTCTACACCTGCTTAGCCACATGTGGATACTGAGCACCTGAAATGTGGCTAGTACAAATTCAGATATTCTAGAAATGTAAAGTATACATCAGATTTTAAAAACTTTGGGTGAAAAACGAAAGTGTAAAATACTGCCTGATAATCTTCTAATTTCTTTTGGATATATTGGGTTAATGACGTACTCCATTAAAATCAATTTCACTTTGTGTATGGTACTGGGGATGAAACCCAGGGTGCACTGCCACTGAGTTACATCTCCAGCCCTTTATTTGTTGAGACAGGGTCTCACTAAGTTGTTGAGGCTGGCCTCAAACTTGTGATTCTCCTACTTCAGCCTCCCTAGTGGCTGGGATTAAGGAATGCACCACCATGCCTGGCTCACTGTTACCTTTAATGAGGCTATAAGAAAATTAAAAATTACATGTGGCTCACATTATATTTCTATTGAACTGTGCTGGTCTATACGTTATATTAAACATTTACATACTATATACACTATAAAGTACTATTATTATTTACATTTTATAGAAAATAAACCCAGAGATTAAAGATCTTACCTGAGATCATATAGCTCCTAAACAACATTAGGTCATATAGCTCCTAAACAAAATTAGGCAGCCTGTGTCCTAAGCACTTTGTTATGCTGTCATCTGTATCTGTGTGGTGTATGTGTATACACCACACACACAGTACACAGCAGATACAGTGACTGTGAACAAACATCCAAAAACACTAAGTGATGAGAGATGGAAATGAACACACACATAATCATACAGAGAGACACATTTGCATACATGCACAAATTTACCACCATACCCAGTGACAGGTAAAGGAATATAAATGCATACCTAAAAAAAATCTCTCCCCCTCCCCCCGGGAGCCTCCTCTATTTTCAATAAATCCAACATACCAATCCTGTTTCCACAGATAGGTAAACAAATTTCACCACCCTTTCCCCTTCTTTCTAGCCATATGCAGGCAATGTGGCTGGCCTCATCAAGTAAAACATGGAAGGTAGAGAATAAAAGGTCCAGATATCATACCACCTGCTCTGGATAGGACAGGACTCAAGTGGAAGAGGTATAGACATGCAGAGATTCTTCCTACTTCCTCCACTTTGTCTCACTGCTAAAGGGAGAGTCACAATTGACAAAAGGGGTGTTCAAGCAAATTATCTGTTATTCCCATCTAGGCCAAAGGCACTCCCTTTCTGGAACAGGAAGGGCTATACTCAAAGGTCAGAGGCAATGGAGGAAACAGGTGATCTTGCCAGCTAGGAAGGATTTCTCAGCTGCTCCATCCCACTGCCTCTTCAAGTTCAGACCTGCATGGTTTCTCCCCTGGCCTATATGCTGTAGACTCCTAACCCTTCCCCTCCAATCATCTTCCACGTGACAACCAGAAATGTTTCTGTACTGGATATTTCTGTCTTGCCCATAGGCCCTTCTTCACAAGTTGACTTCTGCTTATATTTTCCACCACATCCTCAAAAGCAGCTTTGTTTTTGCTCCAAACTGATTTACTTCAGTTTCTCAGATGCACCATGATCCTTCATGCTTCTGTGCCTTGAACATGCAGTTCCCTTTGGCTGGAATGCCCTTTCTGACTCTTCTCCAGCCTCACACAGTTCAGTTCCACCTTCTGGATGACTTCCACTCAAGGCCTGTGTTTTCATTAGATATTTTCTTATCAGTGGATCTCAAAGTATAGAGTGCAAATTCTCAGAACTCAACCCAGAAATACCAGATATATTGAATCAGAAATCCTGGGCACTGGGACTAGCAATCTGTATTTTAACAAGCTCTCCAGGTGAGTTTGATATGCACTTGGGTTCTCAAACCACTGACACTGCACCACACTAAGTTTAACAGCTCACTGGCATCCACCTCTTCACCAAGGTTGTAAAAAACTTGAAGACGGGGATTCTGTCCTATCCCCAATGCCAGGACAGTATGAGGTGGAGTAGGCATTCAATATTAACATTTGCTCAACAGATTATAAGGCTGTATACACACCCACACAGCTATAATTAATGTTGAGAGATGGTTTTGTTTTTGTTTTGCAGTACTGGGGGTTGAACCCAGGGTCTCACATATGCTAGGCAAGCACTCTGCCACTAAGCTTAAACAACCAGTTCCAAGATGGTGGCCCAGATCACAAATCAGATAGCTACCTTTTTAAGGAATATTAACTATAAAAAGTCACCAGTAAAATATGGAACATGTCAAGCTTCACAGTAACTTATTCTGAAAATAAACGATACATGGTCACAGTGAAGGCAGAGTAAATACCATGACGATATTGTCTCATACATAAGAGAGAATGGGATCAATGTGCCACTGGGGAAGGACGCTGGTATCACCAAATATGTGCCAACAGTATGAAGAGTGGGGCATAGATAATGTCCTTAAATAAATATGGATGGGGTTTCACAGCTGGCTAAACCCTGACACACATTAAGCCCACAGACAAACTATACATAGCCAATGGAGAAATAATGTGTGAAGACACAGGCCAAGGAGGTCAGCAAGATAAGGCATGGTCCTTTGCGGATTTGGACCGTTTATAATACATGATATTAAGTAACACTCTGGTCAGAAATGTCCAAGGATTTATTAACACAATGGAGTGCCAAATGGGTTAATGAGCATATAGCTCACAAAATATATTGACAATAAGTTTATTAAATAAATGGTAAGTGTAATCAGAAGCACACACACTATGGATGTATCACATCCATGCATCATTTGAAGGGGAATGCACATTTGGTAAGAATCATAACAGGGGTAACAGGCTGATCCCATCACAGTATAAGAGTGTGTGTTATTCCTTGGATCCCACAAAGGAAAACTCCTGCATATGTCGTGACCATGGACATTTGAGACCAAACAAAATAAGGTATATAAGCTTTACATGATAAACATGCAAAAGCATAAAACATGTAAGTAACATGAAATCGCCTATTAATAGGTGCAACATAAAAAACAATGCAGGACTTGAACATGTCAAAATTGGATGTGGCACAAGGACACAAGATATGAGAATGGGCAATTCTGATGGAAAATAAAAAACATTATTTCTCTATAATGTATGGATAACAGGGACAACCTAGCTGCACACAAGCTATCAAACACATTAAAGACACACAGCCAATATAGAAAACATGTCCCGCCCCCCCGCAAGGAATTTACAGTGTCAGTGTGGAAGGCCACTGAGAAATAAGGTTCTGTGCCTAGAGGGAGAGGTGCCTGAGGACATTCCTAGGAATCAAATTTTACTGGCCTTCTCTCCTCTCCCCCCACCCCGCAAGAGTCATGTGGGGCCAAAGGGCAGGAAAAGGAATTGGGGAATGTGTAGGGAATTCCCTCTCCAGGATTCCCTGTCCACACCCCCAGTTCCAAATTCAGTTTCCATCTCTCTTCCCACCCATGTCTTTTTCATTCTTCCTCTCAGGCCCCCTCTCCTTTCCCCAGCAACCCTCTTCCCTGTCGGCCTTCCCAGCCCCATCCCCTCATCTCCGTCCCTTTCAGCACCCTCCTCCCTCTTCCTCCCATCCCTTTCCCGCCCACACCTCAGTGGGGTGGGGGGCCTGGGGGGCCGGCCCCCTCCCCAGCCAGGCTGCGGCAGCGGTGGTGGCGGCTGGCTGTGTCTCTGCCTCTGTCGGGGTGTCGGTGCCAAGGGGGCGACAGGATATGGGGGTGTCCTAGCCCCGGCCGATGGAGGGGAGGTGGGAGTGGGAGGTTGGGCCCATAGCGGTAGGAATGGTGGGGGGTTGTCCCCCCAGCACCCTCCCTCCCTCCCTTTCTGCTGTCTCTGAGGGCTGGGGCTGCTGCTGCCGCTATCCCCCCCCACCCCTCCCCAACGCCCGCTGGTTTCCGGGGCTGGCCAGGAAGTGGGGGGCGGTGATGGGCGGCCTGTCTTACCAATCTCCTCTTAGAGACCCGGCATCTCCTCTCCACCTCTACCACAGTTCTTTGGCTAACTCCGCCTCGGGAGAGCCCAGCAGGGCTCTGCTCAGTCTCCAGCTGTATCTTTTTTCCTCCAACCCCCTTTCAGCACTCACGGGCCAAGAGCCCTTGTTGTATTCCTCCATCGGCACATTCCTTTCCCTCATTCCTCATAAGCTCACCCTCTTACTGCCAGTTTTTTCTTTTCTTTCTTTCTTTCTTTTTTTTTTTTTTTGTGTGTGGTACTGGGGATTGAACCCAGGACTTCTTACTTGCCAGACAAGCACTGGGTTACATCCCTAACATTTAAAAAGTGTGTGTGGGTGTATTTTTTAAAAATATGCTTTAATATATATATTTTAATTTTTAAAATTCTGTGACATGGTCTCTCGCTAGGTTGCTCAGGCTGGCCTTCAACTTGCGATCCTCCAGAGTGGCTGGGGTGACAGGTGTGTGCCATTTTTTACTTGCTCTGATTTTTTTTTTCTCCTTAACTCCTTTATCTGTGCTTCGTCCCCGTCCCCTCAGCTCTTCTCAAAGACCGCTTCTCCTGTCCCCCATTCATCCCAAACATTTATCATATCAAGCACCTAATATATCCCAAGCAATAAGTTCACCTCTTTTCTTTTTCTCTTCAGGACTCCATCTCTCTCCACCTCGCCCTCCAGCTCTCTGGTCTGGTCTTTTTGCCCTTTGTCCCTCCCTCCCCCCAGCTCCATCTCTCAGCAATCAGACTCCCTCCTCCACTCTCATCCTATCTAGCCTTCTCCCGGTCCATCACTTCCATGCACATTTACCTCAGCACATCTTTCTAAGTTCCTATCAGTCTCTTTACTCAATAAGTTGAGACAATTCCCTCCCCCAACAAAGAATCTGGATGCATTTTTTTCTTCCAATGGAATTTGGGTATTAAGATACTGCTTCCTGGCGGGGTGGGAGGGAGAGTAAGGAAGCATGGTGATTCTTCTGGGATAAGTATTCCTCTTTAAATTTTGTATCTAGCTCTCAGTCCCTGCACCTCTCTTCCTCATACTCCCATTATCAGGATCATCCATCCCATCACTCCTCCCTCCTGGGTCTCCATCTCTCCATTTCAATATCTTATTTCCTAAACTTCTTCAAGTCTCCTAAATCCTCACCTCCCTAGTTCTTCCAGCTTCTCATCTTTTCTTATTGAATCACATGGAACCTTTTTTCAGGGTGTTGCTTAACTGCCCTCAGCCTCTGTCTGCCTCCCGCCCCCAGGAACACCTATACCCTGCATGCGTTTACGTGCCCTGGTGAAGAGGTTGTATAGAACACTGATAAGAGAACTGTTACCTAGTTCTGCTCCTTGGGCCACACAGTGAGGGCCACTGTAGGAAAGGCCCAAGCTCCCAGGGGTCCAGCCCAGGAAGAAGACCCCAGTTCTGCTGGGCAAACTACAAGAAGGAAGGGGCGGGCCTAACCCCATTCTGCCGCAAGTCACCTAAAATGGGGCGGGCCTTGCCCTTTCTGCACCCACTCATAAAGGGGTGGAACCAGACCTTTTCTGTTAAGGTTTAGGACAGAGCTGTGGTCGACTGTTCCGCTCCGAGTCACATGAACAAGGGGGTGGGCCTTTAACTCTATTCTGTTCTGTAGATCACCTAAAGAGGGGCGGGCTGAATCGTCCAGCTGAAGGAGTTAGGTTAACACCAGCGCCGAAGGTCGAAGTTCGCACCATCCAAACGTGGGGCTAATCCCAATTCTGTTCCCTTCTTCACGAAGAGGGAGGGGTGGACCCAAGTTCTGCCCTCTACGTCACCCAAAGAGGCCGGAGCCATTTTGAACCCCGCGACCCTAGTATTTTTGCCCTCTTTTCCGAGATCTGCGTCGGCTTTTCCGGCTTCGGCCAATCACAGGCAAAGAAAACAGCCCAATCAGCCCAAAAAGGCCACAGCCGAAGGACCCGGATGAGGCCGAGCCAAAGCCTTTGAACTGCAAGACCCGCCAATTGTAGAGCAGTCACCATGGCGACAAGATAGAGATGAAGGGGTGGGACCAGAGAAGGCTCAACCCTCATAGAGTCGGTCCATCCCATCCCGCCGCGTGCTGCGCAGGCGCATTTTCCTTAACCACCATTTTCCGTGGAGTTCCAGCCAATCGCTTATACGCTCCAAAGTCCAATAGGAATCCGGACATTCTTTGAAAGAGGAAATGAAGGAAAGAAAGGGGCTTAATATAGTGGGTGAGTTCTAGTAGTCCCGAACCAATTGCTTCTGGCCTTTAGTTATGAGTGGCATCTGCTCAGACAAATAAAACCCTCCTTGGCCGGGTGACAGGACCCAGTTTAGCGACTTGTTACCAATCCCTTGGTGTAGCATACTGACAGTGACTATATCAACCAATAATCATTGTTGAAGGGCAGGGCCGCCTAAACCTTTTGCCGCCCCCACCCTTTGGACCAATCCTTTCTCTTGAACCTTATGTGATTGGCAAGCATTTAGACCAATAGCAATTAGAAAACCTTGAAGCCTGCCCAACGATCGTGGGCAGGAGGCGGCTTCTTGTTTTTTGGGGCGTGTGTGTTTAGGGGGACTGAGGGGTACGCGGGGGCGAAACAGAACCGGCCATGGCAGCAGCAGAAGAGGAGGACGGGGGCCCCGAAGGGCCAAACCGCGATCGGGGCGGGGCGGGCGCGACCTTCGAATGTAATATATGTTTGGAGACCGCTCGGGAAGCTGTGGTCAGTGTGTGTGGCCACCTGTACTGGTGAGAGTCTGGGATCCGGGCTGAAGGTGGTGGGGCTTACCTCTATACTGGAGAGCCCGGGAGCGGGGAACCCTACAATCACATTGATAATCAGAGGGTCCATTTCTGTGGGTGAGGCCTGAGGAGGGGAACATACATCTTTTCTGCTATGTGTGGGAGGAGGGATCGTCTGTAGATCTGTGGAAAGGACAGTCTCAGGAACTAGGATAGGAGCTGGTGCGTGTGTAGTGTGTTATAAGGAGGAGGTTGGACCAGAATGGGGACAACTACACATCTGTGCAGCTGGGACCTGAGGGCACCTTATCCCAAGGAAGTTAAGAATTTTTTAACTAAATTGGCCCAATTCTTATATTGTGTGCATGTATGAATGTGTAACTGCAGATCCCATCATTATGTACAACTATAATGCACCAATAAAAAAGGTAGAAGAGAAAAATAGTTTTTTTTTTTTTTTTAACTGAACAGGTAGAAACGGATGAGACTCAAAGGTTAGGACAGGCATGCATCAGTTGAATAGAGGAGACCCAAGGAATATGGGCTCACATTCAGATGAGATCTGGAAGTAGGTAGTAGACAAACCTGGAGACATGGACTGTGGAGGGGCAGGATTGAGAAAACGTTGTAGAAAAAGAAACTTGAATAAGCTTAAAAGTGAGAGTAATGGGGGGGAATGTGCTAGCAAAGGGGGTTTGGTCTGGAGGAATGGGGGCTAAAAGGGGTTGGATCTGGAAAGGGGTGGGTTGAAGAAAATTGAAAATTAAGTTGAAAGAAAAGAGAGGGAGGGTTGGAGGAGAGGCGAAGGTTGAGTGTATTGTGGATGGATAGAGCTTTAGGTGTTAGATCAATAAAGCAGGAAGGCCAGGTTGGCTAGTGTGGTAGATGTTGCAGAAAATATGAAAAGAAATAGCAGGTAATATCTGGGAAGATGGGAGAGATGGGATTCTGTTAAGTCTGGGGTCTGTGTCTCTTTTTTGTAGCTAGTTTGACCATTTTTTTTCTCCCCCTCCCCCCCATCCAGTTGGCCCTGTCTTCATCAGGTGCGTACTCAGGATATGGAAAGGAAATGGGGAGGTCTGAGGAGCTGGAAGACCCTTCTATGTAGTTGAAATCACTGCATTTGTTTCTCTCCAGTGGCTGGAGACACGGCCAGAGCGGCAAGAGTGCCCAGTGTGTAAAGCTGGTATCAGCAGAGAGAAGGTTGTCCCGCTTTATGGGCGAGGGAGCCAGAAGCCCCAGGATCCCAGGTGAGAGACTAGAGGTAGTGTTGAGGCAAGGATGAAGGCTTCTGTCCCAGGAAGAGGGTGTCAAAGAAGAGAGGAAAGGATCCCTCTTGACAGTCTTCTCTTCTCACCCTCAGATTGAAAACTCCACCCCGCCCCCAGGGCCAGCGACCAGCTCCAGAGAGCAGAGGGGTGAGTCTTCTTGTCCAGTTGTGTCCCTTTCTTGCCAAAGATATGCCTAGTTCCCCTGACTTTGTCTCTTCCCTAGGGATTCCAGCCATTTGGTGATACCGGGGGTTTTCACTTCTCATTTGGTGTTGGTGCTTTTCCCTTTGGCTTTTTCACCACTGTCTTCAATGCTCATGAGCCTTTCCGCAGGGGTGCAGGTAAGAGTCTTCCCTTAGCTCTTCTCAGGGAATCCCCTCAACCACCCCCCACCCCCACCAGGTTCCCTTGTGGCCTAGGAATATGTGCTTCTGCAGCTTTCCTTTCTCCCACAGGTGTGGATCTGGGACAGGGTCACCCGGCCTCCAGCTGGCAGGATTCCCTCTTCCTGTTTCTCGCCATTTTCTTCTTTTTCTGGCTGCTCAGTATTTGAGCTATGTCTTCTTCCTGCCCACCTCCAGCCAGAGGAAAATCAGTATTGGGGGTCCCTGCTGACCCTTCCTTATTTCTGGAACCCCATTCCCTGACCCCTCCATTTCTGTTGGCTGAGACCACTCTCCAGGAGGGCATGGGAAGGAGTAGCAACAACTGTGCATAGGATGAGAGACCAGCCTCTGAACTCTCTCACTCCCTTGCTGGGTAGTAACTCCCAGCCCTGTGGAAGGAGGGCAGACTGAAAAGAGTGCCCTTTTTCCTCTCACCTAATGTTTTGCTTCCCCTGATTTCTTGATTTGATGTTGAAAGGTGGGCAATGCTCCCTCTGACTTTCCTCCATTCCTCTTGTTGATTTAATTTAATTTTTCTCTCCCCAGTGCCTAATATGAGTTTTGACTTTAAACACCCACTCCCCCCCCCCACTACCTCCTTTATTACAAGTTCAATAAAAAAGGTAAAATGTATTGATGGGAACTCTTCCCAAGTTCTTCCTTCTCTTCTTCCTTCCAGGAGAGAAGCCTCTTCACCCTAACTTAAATAGATGTTTGGTGATAAGTCCCTCCCCCAACCCCTTCACACTCTCTCTTTCTCTGTCACACACACACACACACACACACACACACACACACACACACATACACATAAACAGAAGACACAACAGTATGGGCAAGATGTATCAGGTGTTTATTCAGCATGGTTTGTGGAGGGCTCTGGTTGTGGAAGAAAGTGTGTTGAGGTGGGGTAGAGATTGTACAGGGTTTAGGGCCAGCACAGTTCAAGGGAAAAAAGCAAGGGAACTGAAGGACAGGATCTGACTGGGGTCCCCTTAAGACCCTCCTGTTCCACTCTCGGCTGCCTCCGGCTCCTCTGACTGATTTAACTCTGCACGTTCTTCCTCTTCCTCCTGGTTTTCTGGGGCCTTCCTAAGGAGGATTGGGGAGAATTCCACATATGGCTCCTAGCTCTCCATTGTTCCATCCCCCACACCCCTCACTGGCTGCCTGGAAGCCCTAAATCTGAGGCATTTGGCTTTCTTCACTCACCTCTCCTCTCCTTGGCGTCGCCTCTTTCTCCACATGATGATCCCAATGAGGAGGGCAGTTATCCCTAGGCCTCCCAGGATCCCCAGAGCTAGGGCTACAGTTCCCAGCTCTGATCCTCCCACAGATCCTGTAAGGAGATGGAGAAAATTGAGGGCACAACCTTCACTTTTCACCATTCCTTCCTTTCTTTTTTTCTTATTTATTTTTTTTTTTTTAGTTGTAGATGAGACACAATACCTTTATTTTATTTATTTATTTATCTTTATGCGGTGCTGAGGAACTAACCCAGGGCCTCACACATGCTAGGCAAGCATTCTACCACTGAACTACAACCCCAGCCCACTATTCCTTTTTTTTTTTTTTAACCATACGATTTTTAAAAATTTTTTTTTAGTCATACATGACAGCAGAATGTATTTTGACATATAATACATACATGGAATGTACATACATCAATCATATTGTCTATTCTATTCTGCTGTCCTCCCACTATTCCTTTCTTATTGACCATCTCCCCAGTCCATGTGGAAGGGACTGTCTGCTTTTCTCTGACTCTGTTCCAATCAATCCCTCACCTGTGGTTGGCCCCTCCTCTCCAGTTTCTGGAAGAAAAGTTGGGGCAAGTCAGAAGGAAAGACTTCAGTTTGGGAAAGGACTGTTTGGTGGGAGCGACAGTGGAGTCTTTCCCTCTGGTTCAGAGGAGAGAGGCTGGGCTGTTCTCTTGGCAGGATTTGGGTGGGGCAGAGACCTGGGTGTGGGTGCATTGAGGGTGGGGTAGGATGGCTCTTGGGGATAATGCCAGAAGGGGATAGGGAGTTGGAGCCTACTATGTCCCTCATCCCAGGCCCAGGGTCTCAGGAATTTGGGAAATGGTCTTACCTGTAATGCTGATGCTGACAGCAGGGCTTTCCTGGGACCCATGGCTGGGATGTGTAGCAACGCAACTGTAAGTCCCCTGGTCCTGAGGCCCTACCTCAGGGAGGAGCAGGATGGGGCTAGGGGGAAGGGGCAGGGGCATGCCCTGGTGGAGGAAGGGGGACACTAGGCTATTACAAAATCCCCATCCACATGTCTCCACTGCCTAAGATACCCTGTCTTCTTTCGCAGCTCCTTGCCCACCTTTCCTCCATTAGCCCTCTGCCCTTCTTCCAATTGCCAGTTACTTCTTCCAGTTGCCACTCTACCTCCCAGCTCCCCCTGGTCACTCACATCCTTCACCCAGTGAATTTGAGGAGGGGGCTGGGCAGGGGCTTCACAGGTCAGAGTCACGGTCCCACCACGAACTACTGCTCCCCCTTCTGGTTCCACCACCAATCGAACTTCCTCCAGAGGCACAGGCTCTGAGGGCAGGAAGGGGCACGAGGTTGAGTGTTAACACCTGGGAGTGGTCACGGTGAGTGTGGGCTTGACCATTGCCTCCGGGAGGACCATACTTCCAGAACATGTTCACTTGAACTTGGGGCTCTCCCCATCTGCTCACCCCAGACACTGGGCTGGATGGGGGCTGTGTTCAAGGCCCGGCGCCTGGGAATGCCTGGGCTGAAGCTACAGGAGAAGGTGGGGTGGGCATTTCCATCCCGGGCTGGGGTCACCATCAGTTCTGACTGGAGTGTGAAGAGCCCTGTCTCAGGGTTTCTCCTAATCTGTTCCTTCACAGACACTCCTATGGGAGGGAGGACAAAAGAAGACATCCAGGTGGGAGATATTGATCTAAGAAGAAGGAAGCTGTGGGGCAGGGGGTGTGCACATGGGGACTCACCTTTTCCATCAGGTATCAGGGGTTTCCCATCTAAGTGCCAGCTAAGAGTTCCCTCAGGGTAACTTCCCTCGGACACACATGTCCCCACCTGAAGAAAGAGTGGTAACCTCATCATTGAAAATGTGAGATATATTCATACAGTACATAACCACATTCACATCACCACTTTCTGCTTCTCCCGCTTCTTTCCACTACCTTATTCGGGACCCCAGCCATGAGTTCAGAAGCAGGATCTAGAATTTCTGGCTTCCCAGGAATTTCTGCAGGAGGGAAAAGTCTTGTCAGAGGCTGCAGCTTTGAAGGTTCCCACTCTCCAGGTGTGATAGTGTAGGTAGTGAAGTCAGAGGTCCTCACACACCAGGGCCAAGAAGTCAAGGGCTGGGAGTGAAAGCTTTTTCTTAGATGAGAAGTGGGCCTTGGGCAAGGCCCTGGAACCCTTACGGTAGACTCGGACCCGGTAGTTGGACTTGGTCTCCTTTCCATGCCTGTTGGTTGCCCGGCACCGGAAAGTCCCCTCATCCTGGATCCCAATTGCTGGAAGGAGGAGGGAGCCATTGGGGAGGACACGAGCCACACTATCCCAGGGGCTTCCCTGGGGAGACAGGATCTTCCAAGCCTCTGTCCGGCCTGTATTCTGGAGACAAAGAAGGGCCTGAGCAATGCCAGTTCTCTGGGAAAGTCTGATCGAACAGTGATGGGGATGCAAGCTATCACAGGTCTCTATGAAAATTGGGACAGGGCCCTGCTTACCAGTTTCCATTCCAGCTGCTGGGGTGGTTTCTTGGGGGCCCCCTTACAGTTCAGCACCAATGGCTCTCCAATCCGGGCTGTGATATTTTGAGCGCCTACTACTGCCCCTGGGAAACAGCACTGAGGTAGAAGGGGCAGGAAGGGAGATAGGCTAATGAAATTAGGGGAGCGTGGGTTAAGAACTTGAAAGCAAGTGTCCAAGATCTAGAAAAATTCCAGGGAAATTATGGGCAAAGTGTTTTCTCCAGGGAGAATCATTGGGGACAGGGAATGGCTCACCCCATAGACTGAGGACCAGCACCCAGGTTCCAGCCGTTGCCCCTGCTGCCATCCTGCTTCTTTCCTAGGCTCCTGTCTGTCCCTTTCCCTTTAGTGGTCACCGCCCTGGGTGGGGCTTGCACCCTCTCCCCTACCCCCATCTCCCAGTCTTGTCCCTTTGCAGGGAATGCTAGGAATTCATGCTTCTTGAACAAGAGTCCTTCAGGTGCTAGGAGAAGCAGTTCTTACCTCACCCTTGGGCACTGCCAACTCTGGACACAACCACTTCCCTGGGGGTGAGGAGTGTACCTCTTAAGGTCTCATTCTCTTAGAGCCCCCCACTGCATTCATAGTCCATCATTCCTTTGCTGAGGGCTGCCTGGAGCCCCATTTTGACTAGGCATGGTTGCTAAGCAACAGGGTTCAGCTGTTGTCTCCAGGGATGGACTTGGGGCCTGAATGATGAGGAACAGGGTAGGGGACTGAGAAGAAATCTATTGGGGCTTTGAGAGAAACATTTTTTCTTCTAGGGTCTTTCATTTTTTGAAAAAAAAAAAAATTCTCAACTAAACCCAGGGAAAAAAGAAATTTCTTTATTTAAAACTGAATTGTTTTTCTTTTTTTTCTGTGAAACTACAAGTTTACAAGTGAGGAGAGAACTGCCCCTGGCCCCGTGCCTCCCACCCCCCACCCATCACACTCCCAACCTGTTCCCCAATCCTGCCAGGATCTTTAATGGGAGGGGTTCCCCACTCTTGACAGTTTTGTAAAATCCTGAGGATGTTTGAGGGGATTAGATAGTAGGGTTCAGGGCCAAGGATGGGACAGTGTTTTTTCTTCCCCCATACYTGGATTTTTGCAAYCTCCCACCTCTCCCCACCCCCTTGATTTTGGTGAGAAAAAAGGATACCTCATTTTTGGGGAAACTGAGGGAAATACATATATAAGCACCCAACCCATATTTAACATATTTGGCAAGAATCCCCTCTCTGTTCTTTATCCTCCAATCTGCAAATGACAATTAAAGAAAAAAAAAAGATTTAATTAAAAGATGTGTCACATGGGGAAGGTGGCAACTTCAATTTCTTCAATTGTTGAGTTTAGCCCTGCCCAAGGGTTGTGGGAAGGGGGTTGGATATAGGGGGCCAGCAAGGCAAACCCCTTACTGCCTCTGATCCAAATACAACAGAAACTGCCTGCATAAGCAAAGAACACCTAAGTGATTTTAGAGGGAAGGGCTTGGTGTTCTGTAAAATTCACTTTCTGATGAGCAGGCATAGAGCCAGGTGGGCTTCTTCACTGGTATTGTTGGTTCCCCTTTCTCTTATGGAGACCCCTTTGGCTATCACCTCTAATATGGGAAAGCAAGAAATTATATTAAAAAAAGTATGTTTATTTTAAAAAAGAAAACAAAACTACTTCCCCATACTAAAAAATTAAGAGCCACCACCACCACCACCACCAAAAAATAAAAATAAAAGACGATACAGATGGATCCCAGGGTTTCGTTTCTTTAAAAACAAAAACAAAAAACAACAAAAAAAAATCCCAAAGCCCAGTCAACAATTCCCTAAAGTAGCAGAAACTCCCTCCGAGGTAGATATCTGAGTCAGACACTCTCGTCCACCGAGCGATTCTATTGGTTTAAGATGAGCTGCATATGAGGTAATAAAGCCGTCTGGAGGGGAAGGGGGTGGGGATGCACAGGGGGCGTGGCCCATGTCATTTGTCCAGAAGTCGAGTCCCCATTTTTGGCATCTCTGGGTCGGGCAGGGCTGACGTCTCCAGATTCCAGAGCATATTAGCAGGGTGGGGAGGGTAAGTGGGGGAGTACACAGAAACAGAAGAGTTGTATGTGAGTGTGTATGGGGGGGGGGTGAGAAAAAGGGGTCTGAGAAATAGGTATCTGATTTGCTGTGTAAGAGAAAAGGGGGAAAAGACAAAAAAGGAAAAAAGGAGGAGATAGACCCCACTCTCCCCTAAAGGGCCCCATTCTCCCTGCCATGTAGTCAGCACCCCCAGCACTGAGAGTCTAATTGGGGAGGGTTGACCCCATTCGCCCTTCTCTTTCTTGTGCTTCTCCTGTTAGGGGTTTGTCCTCTGGATGCCTGCGTCCTCTTCAAGAGTCGCCTTATGAGAGCCCCCACCCCCAGTGATCCTGAGGGGCAAGATCAGTTGGAGGTGTCAGAGTGAACACTCCCTGGTCCCTCTGTGGGGGATGTCACTGAAGATGGGGTCACAGCTTCCTGCCAGCCGCCATTTGCCTGGAAAAAGGGAGAAAGACAGTAGGAATAGGGTCCTGGAAAATTCTGTGGAGGTGGGGTGGACAACACTGCTTGGGGAAAGGCCCTCCCATCATGGTAAGAGCGAGTGAGAGTGAGTTGAATATCCACTCACCCTCATTTCCCGAGGGCTGTACATCTGGCCTCCTCCAAGGTTATCCCCATAGCCTCCTGGCCCCATGGAGTGTCGGAGTGATTCCACCTACAGGCAGCAGAGGAAGGTAAAACAGTGAAAAGAAGCCTCAGAGGATATCTTGTACCCTAAAGAGGAGAAACAAGAGTTTGGGAAAGTTCCACTCAAGGAGATAGGGCACCTGACCTGGGAAGCAGAATAGGAATCTCCGTTGAGCCCAGGCATCCCCAAAAACATGTCTCCGGATCCTGAGAGATTGAAAGAACCGCCAGAGCCTTGGAGGAGTAAAGAGGGAATTAGAGAAGAGTATAATGGAGTCTGTGGTGGCAGATAGGAGATGAACACAACTCTCAGGTTCCAGAAAGCCCTCTAAATTAGCTCTGTAGGGACATATGTATATCTGTATACAAATTATCCACAAAACAACATTTCAGCACTCAGAATAGATTCCAAAGCCTTCCCTGGCCACCCACTGGAAGAAAGGCTGAAGCAACTTCATTGGAATGGCCTGTGTCCACTGACATTACCACCCCATTTCAGCTTGGTCCCTCTCAACCCCCAAAATTCTCTGATAGGATTATGCCTAGATAGGAAGTGGGAACAAAAGCAGGAAGTATGTAAAATAGCCAGGGTGGCAGTGAGCTCCACCTGCAGAGGAAGGGGGTGTTGGGGAGCTTGTGCGGCTGTGGCCCCCTTGGGTGACTGATACGGCAGTCTTGACAGCGTAGATGTTTGCCTCTTCTTGGAATTTTCCAATATTTTTCTTATACCGAATTCGCTTATTACCAAACCAATTGGAGACCTGTGGGATGGTGGGCAAAGAGAGTCAGGTGGAAACCCCTCATTGAGTAGGATCCGAGAGCTTTTTGCCCAAAGACTCCTTCCCAAACTCCCACATTACCTGAGAGACAGTGATGCCACACTTCTTGGCAAGCTCCTCCTTAGCCTCTTCACTAGGATATGGGTTACTCAGGTGGGAGTAGAAATACTCATTTAGGACTTCAGTGGCCTGTTTGCTGAAGTTACGGCGTTTCCGTCTATAAAGGATGGAGAAGAGTAGCGAGGATGTTAGCATCCTGGCAGCCATACTGCAGGACTCTAGGGGGCATCGTTGTGTGGAGTACCATGTTATGCAACATGGTGGCTCAGGGTCTTGGAGAGAAATGGGAAAGAGCCTGGTACTGGGGGTTGGTCTTAGTCCTTGGACCCCACCTGGCATCCAAGAAACGGGAACGAAGGATCATGACGGCCTCACAGGTACTCTGCTTGAGCTGCATCTGGATGGCGCTGAACTTTCGATGAATGATGCTCACCATGCGCTCCATTTCCTTGGGTGCCACGGGCCGCGTGCGGCTCTGCTCCCTCAGCAGGTTCATGACATGGGTTGTAAACTCGTTACATGCCTGTAGTGGGGAGCAGGTGGGCTGGTGAGAAGCCCTTTGGCTTTGGTATTCCCTCCAAAGAGCTTCCTCCTCCACCCACCCTAGCTTCCTCTCCTCACCTGCTCATACTTCTCCAGCTCTGAGTGGTAGATGTGGCGGATCTGGGCAAGCTTGCTGCGATAGTCCGAGTGTTCGATGGAATTGTCAGGGGACACACCACCCCCAGAGGCTGCAGCGGCTGCAGCGGCTGCAGCTGAGCCTCCCCCCTTCTCAGGCCCAGCCACACCCTCTGCCAGAAGCATGTTGTCCAAGCGCATCAGCTGTGGGTCCACTGGCTCCTCCTCTTGGGAGCTTCGAATGCTGAGGCCTAGCATGCAGGTAAGTAGACTTAGGGACACAGACACCCCTTACCCAAAGTTCAGTCTTCCTGTTGCCTCCTGTAAACCCAAGTCTACAGGCTTTGGTTCCTTCCCCAGTCTCTCTCAGCAATACCTTTCCTCAGGGTCCCAAGTTGTCAAACTCAGCCCCATAGTAAACATGGCTGTCCCCAGAGTTGAGGATTCAAGGGGGAGACCCCCACATACCAGTTTTTTCCTTGATTTCACACAGGACACTAAAGAGAGCAGGCTTCATTCTGTGGMAGTTTAGGGCGTGTTTCCTTAGGAAGAATGGGAGTAGAGAAAGAAAAGTTGAGGAGCTAAACAGCAAGGGAACCATAGCAGTGTGAGAGGGCAAGGAGAGAGAAGAGGAAATCTGCAAAGGAAGAAAGCAGAGTTTGGGGATGGTTCCTGGGTAGCAATCAGCTTCCGAACATGGGGAAGCTACTCAGCTTATTAGCAGATATTGGCAGAAGGCAAAAAGGCACCATGGTGGGCTGGGGACTTTGGGAGTTGGTCACGAAAAGCTGTGAAGAAGGAATTTGGGGGTAACTGGAAAAATGAGAGTGACTAGGTAGACTTCAGAAAAAGGGATGGATACTAAAGGGGAGAAGGTTCAGAATTTTGAGGTGGCAGAGAGGGGTTGGGGGTGCCCAGGTAAGGAAGGAGTTCAGTATAAGGTATCTAGAAAGGTCCTGGGGCTAAGGGAGGGAGAAGGGACCCTTGGAGGCTGGGGCCATGGGTTGGAGAGGACTGTCAGCACCTTTGGGAAGGGTTGTTGAGGTCCCAGATCTGGAGAGAATGGGGCAAGCTGGGTGGAGAGTTAGGGGAGGAAACAGCATGGTCTAAGAACAGTTTGTGAGTCTGGGAGCCAGAAGGGGGCTCCGGAGATGAGAAGGGATGAGTGTGGAGGGTCAGCAAAAGGTTAGGAGGGGGAGACCACCTGGGCTTCCCTCTGGAGGTTTCAGGGCCTGGGGCTGAAAGGAGGTTTTGAAAGAGATCACTTCGCTCAAGGGATCCCAGGCTAAGGGAGAGAAGAGAGCTGAGAGGGCCCTGGAGTTGGGGCGGGGGTGGGGGTGGGGGGCTCCCAGAAGACTCAGCTTGTGAATGGGGTCCTGTGGGTCTGTGTGGGGTCCCGGGGTGGGGGCACTCACTTGGCCTGGGCCTCGTCCAGGCTCTGGTCGGTGATGGTCATTATCTGCTGCAGAATGTCCCCGATGTCTTGCTTCCCTCGGCCTCCCGGGACCCCCCCGCTACCCCCACCGGGGTCTCCGCCACCGGGAGGCTCGCCAGGGCCCCCAGGTTCCCCACCCACCAATCCTAGGCCCCCCCGGCCTCCGCCTGGAGGGGGCGGCCCCAGTAGCCGCTCGTCCATAGCTGGGGGGGGGGGCCCTGAGGCCCCCTCCCTGCTCCGCCCCTCCCCCCGCCTGGTTACTTCCCCCCCAAACTCGCTGGGGCCGCTGCTCCCTCCGCCCCAACCCCCGCCCGTCTCCCCCCCTCCTCGCTCCCCCGGGGGTTCACCCCGGCACTGAAGGGAGACCTGGGGTACCGGCTGGGCCCCCCACAGGAGACCCCGGCCCCCGGCGGCGGAGAAAATGGAGCCGGAGAGAGAGAGGAGGCCCAAGCGGGGGTGTGTGTGAGAGAGAGGGAGGAGGGAGGAGGGAGAAGGGGGGAGCGAGGGAGGGAGGCTGGGGGAGGGGAACCCGGGAGGAAGAGGAGGGGAGAAGAGAGGAGGAACAGGGAGGAGCCGGGGGCGGAGAGAGACACACTGAAACAGAGGAACTGAGACCGAGTGGAGGAGGGGAGAGGGAAGACGGGACGAGGGGAGGAGACTGGCACTTCGGGGCACTAAGGGGAAGGCCCGGGGGCTGGACTTCCGTGGCCGGGGAGGGGGGCGTGGTGGGGGCTGGGGTGTCCACCTCCTGGGTTCTGAGTCTCCACCCTAGGTGACACCGACTCTAGCCGCTGGAATGCCGGGATTCACAGGCAGCTCAGTTCATATTTCTTGTTCTAATGACTCCCCTCCCTGTTCTACTTAATTAAAACCAGGAGAGGGGGGCTGGGGAGATAATTAGGGAGGTCTCCAGCCGCTGCTTAATGAGCCAGTAATTAACCAGCTAGGGAGGGGAGCTGGCCTCTGGCCAGACTGGGGAAAGAGGGCGCCTCTGGCCTCACCTTCCTATTCTCCACCCTCCCACCCCGCAGACATCAGTCTTCAGTCCAGAGGGGAATTATATTTATTTATACAATCAAAACATCAGACAAACTCAGCAGCAGTGGGGAGGGAGGGTGGGCAGGCTAAAGGTCCATTCACAGCTCCTAGGCCCTCTGTATTGGGTGCTAGATGGTGCCCAAGGCAGGGATGAGAAAATACTCTTGATCTTTCTGTGCTGTGCCCACCCTCCCTTTCTTCCTATGGGGAAGGAGGGTAGAGCTGTCTATCAAGTGATAACCTTAGGAGACTTGCCTTGAGAGGGAAAGGCCTGAGCCCTCACACCCTGCCTAGTAGCTGGATAGCTCAGGACAGGGACTCCCAGTTACTGCCTGAGATCGATGGCTGGGATCCTCTTACAGCCTCAAGCTCCAGAATACTTGAGGAAGTTCATTGACCATCCTACCTTGCCTATTCCCAGGATTTGAGGACTTTCACCCCCTCCAGTTCCCAGGGAAGGTGCTGAGGGTGGTGATCACTGTAATTTCTGCTGGGTCTTCCAGTCTCTGGTACCCATGCCAGGCAGGGTTGAGGGCAGACATTGGCTGCCCAGCTTTGAGCCCCAGGAGGGAGGAGGGGCTAGTTGGAGACTCAAGTCTCAGCAGGTGTGTGTGGGGGGCCGGGATCTTTGCTCCTCCATTCGACCCCCACCCTGAACTCTCAGCAGCAACTCCAGGAGCTCTTGCCCCCCTGGTGGGAGGGGAGGCTCTGATCTCTGGGCTTCCATGCGCTGGCACTGGAGGAGTGGAGGGAGAAAGCATTGGTAAGGACTGGGGGGTAGGTATCCTTGAGAGGAGCCAAGGCTGGCTTGGTGGGGTCGGGGGAGCAGATCGGAAGCCTATGATGGGGATGGGGGGACTGGGGACTGGGTATGGGGCAGATGTCTAGGGACAAAGAGGAGTAGATCCAAACAGAACAGGGGGCAAGAGACCAGACCTTCTGGGGGTGTCTTACCTGGTGACTGAGGATGGTGCTGTAGAGCTGCTCTCTGTCCTCGAGAGGCCGGGGTGGGATTGGAGTTAGGCTTGAAGGATTCTGAGGGGCTCGGAAGGTGGCCCTCTGCTCCTCTAAGCGGCGGGACTGGGCCTCAGCCACCAGGTCCAGAAGGAGTTCAGTCTGCAGGGAAAGCAGGGAGGCCGAACGGGGCCCCAAGGCTGGGGAGAGGAGGGAGGAGGGCTCAGAGACCCAGAGAAGTTGGTGGATTGGAGCAGTGGGGGATGATGAGGGGGTGAAGTGACTAGGAACTTTGGGTCGGAGCCATGGGGGTGTGATGGGGAGTCTGGAGAGGTAGGGATGGAGTCAGGATGTGGGCACCAGGGTCAGGGGGTTCCCTGGGTGCGTTGGGGTACCTGTGTGGCGGGTTCCAGGAGGAGGGGATGGAGGAGCAGATCGCCAAGGCCGAATGGTGGAGTTCAGAGGAGGCCAGCCCAGCTCTTCTTCTGGGGGTCCCTGATGCCAAGAGACATACATTCCAGTCAAGCCCCGGTAGGTGGAGGGAGTAGGGTGGGCAGAGGGATAGGTCAGTGTCCCATTTCCTGTGTTTCTGTTCCTGCCTTAGGGTGCCCAAGCCTTTTCAAGTCCTTTAGGTCCACCGTCACTAGATCTTTACTCTGGGTCCTTGCATTTCTCTCTCCACAGAGTTAGCCTCCCCAGTTAGTGCCCAGCTCACCTGCTCACCATCTTCTTCCTGGGGTCTCTCAGCCTCCATCCCCTTTCGGGGAGAAACTGATGGGGGAGGGGTGACTGGGATTTGGGAGGAGGGCCGGAACCTTGGGTTCCTGAGGGGAGTGGGGGCTGGAAGGGGTGGGGGTGAGCTGGGGGATGGATGCCTGGGCACTGAGCAGGAAGCTGGGTTCCTGGTCAGCCCCCCCACGGCCCCGCCCATCCATGTCAACTTCCTCCATTCTCTTTTCCCACCCAAACAGTTTGTTTGACCCCTCTCCCCAGGGGAGCATAAAGACTGGGAACAACTCCTCCAGCTGCAGGAGTGGAGAGGTTTCTGGGGTGGGGAGGGAGATTTTGGTCTTCTCTCCAGAGCCTCAGTAGCCTCCCAACCCCCAATTTAGCTCCCTTCACTGCCCCCCCCCCCATCTCTTTCTGTCAACACAGGAACTAGCTATACAGGAAGTGTGGTTTCACTCTTCAGGATCCCCCTCCCCCAAACCAGGTCCTTTTCCTCCCTAAAACAGACCTAGGATTTGGCCCTTCCCAACTCCCCTCAGACTTATTGGGATTAGGAGGCACATGGTTCCAGTGGAAAGCAGAGCACTCAGAGCAGTGTGTGTGTGTGTACACATGTATCCCTAGCACTGGTTCTCACATGCAATAGTTACTCAAGAATTATGGGCTGGGGGCTGGGATTGTAGCTCAGTGGTATTTGTGAGGTTCCATACCCAGCACCACATAAAAAACTAAATAAAGATACTGTGTCCATCTACAACTAAAAATATTTTTTGAAAGAATTAAGGATTGAATAATTATTCCTGCCCACTAGATGTTTAGCTCTTAAGGATTAAGGGTGCAGTGGCACATGCCTATAATCCTAGCAAGGCAGGAGGATCACAAGTTTGAGGCCAGCCTCAGCAACTCAGTGAGGCCCTAAGCAACTTAGCAAGACCCTGTCTCAAATAAAAAAAGGGCTGGGTGTATGGTTCAGTGGTTAAGTGCCCCTGGGTTTAATTCTTGGTACCCTCACCCCTCGCCCCCTCCCCCCAAAGTGCATCAAATGTGAGAAAAATAGAAATAGGTTTCATTCTGGCAATTTGCAGCTTAATGCAGATAAGGGGCAGGAGAAAATGTTAGGTCATGAATGAGGGATCTAGAAATGAATAGAGGACAACTTTCCTGGCTTGGCCTTCGATTGATGTTGGACTGGATGACATCGACGAGGGAACAGGGTAGACCTTTGGGATCTTTAAATGGCTACCTGGCCACAGCTGAGTGGATGGGACCATGAAATGTGATAAAGAGATCTGGATATGCCACTTAATACCTTGCAATTGTGGATAAACAAAATCTTTTGTGCCTCAGATTTTGAGAGTAAAATGGGGCTTTCATAGCACCTACCTTATATATTGATGTGAAGATTATGATACAGCACTTGACCCATAGTGAATGTTCAATAAATGGTAATTATTAGCTTTCAAAATTTCTCAGGCCTCCATATCTCAGGCTTATCAGTATCAACGAGGTGTAATCATGTTGTGAAAGGTGGTTGGTTCCTTTAAGATGTTCTCTCTCCATCTTCCTCTACTTGAGGCCTTAGGAATCTCCTAAGCAGCTATAACTAAATGCACTTGGTGAGGGACAGGGGGTGTACATGGCTTAGTATGTATGTATTCTCCTTGGGCTACTAGAAATTCTTGCTTTCAGATTACATCCAAAATGAACATGGGACTGTACTTACTCTTGCTCTTAAACTGTATTTAAAGTTCCGATCCAAATGTTGAGCCTGGGGCATTAAATCCCCAACACTATGCAGAAGCTCCATTATTTCCCATTCCACTCCACAACCCATCACAAAAAAATTTAATGCTTTAAATCAGCTTTATTACTAGTGAGATTTGGGGTTTACTAGAGATGGCAGTGACTAGAAGCGAGGCGCTTCATCCCTGCATGGAGTTTCTTTGATGGGGTCAGGGAGAGCAAGGAGTCATCAGCTGGACTAGCTACCTTTCAGCATCTACACAGTGCCTGGCACACAGTAGGTGCTCTATAAGTATTAGCTATCTGTTGACCACAGCGTGGGGGTGGGAGAACTCGGAACATCTGCCGGCAGTTCCTAGTTCTGGTTTAGGGGTAGTTCTCTCCATGAACTTTGTCCTTTTGTAGCCTCTCATGTTTATTTTCTAGAGGATGACCTGGGCCTGCCTCATCCCAGCATCCTAAATCTGTAGTGCTTCAGCTTCTCTACGTGGAATACCATGCCTGTTGAGGTGGGCATTCACTCATTTTGGGAGGGAAACTACCCTCTCCACTTTTGGGCCTTAATTTTAAAGTCTGGCAGGCCTTCCAGACACCCAGTCATTTAATCATTTTTAGGATTCCCCTCTCCTTACTATCCTTCTATTTCTGACCCTCTCCTTCGGAGTTTAAGGGAATGACTTGCTGAACTGGGAGACCCCAGACAACTTGAGGGGATCCCCGCTCTGGGGAAGGAGTAAGGCAAGGAGGCGGGATCGGAATGTTGGGGGAGGGGCCGCAGGTCTTCAGGGTTACCCAATCACAGGGCCAATCATCCGCTACTGTCCTGCCCCCGCGTGCGGCCACAACTCCTGATTTTCCCCGAACTATTGCAGGGTTGGGCCGAGACCCACGCATGCCTGCAGAAAATCTACGGCTGCGGGACGGCGGGCCTCCTCCTGCTCCTCCCGACAGGCTCCGGCAATGAGGATAGGCCCTGGCCCCGCGCGGGGCCAAGTCTACGGACAAAGTCCGAGATTGCTGGCAAGCTCCGCCTCCACGCGGGCCTGCTCCGCCTCCACGCTGGCCCGCTCCGGCTGACAGCGTCCGGCAGCGCGGAACGGCGCCGCCCGCATGCGCAGGCACGCTTCCTGACGCGGTCCGCGCGCGCGGGAAGGCCCCAGTCTCGCGGTTCGGCGTCGCTTTGTGACGTGCCTCTGGTGGTCCCGCCCCTTCCAGTAGCGTCAGCAGATCCCAGTGGTTACGCTGGCGTGCGATGTCGCTGGGCGCTAGCCCAGCCTGGTCCCGCAGCCCTCGGGCCGCCCCCAGCCCCAGCAGAAGCTGGGCTATCTCCATCGCTCCTTCCCGGGCAGCCAGGAACAGCGGCGTCTGCTCCTGTCCGGAAGGAAACAGCCGGGGGGTGGGGAGGGTGAGGTCAGGGAAGGCCACGCCCACAGAACGAGTCCTACCCGGCTCCAACGGCTTGGTTACTGGCCCCTCCCGCTTCAGGTTTTCTGGGGTTCCCGTGCTTTCCAAATCACTGGTCCTCCCCTCTTTTTAAAATATGGGCATCCAGATACCCGTTCTGACCCTGCTGTCCTGGGCATCTTTATCGGCTCCAGCTTGTAGAAGGGAGCGGGCGGCTCGGGCGTTGTTTACAGCAGCAGCCCAGTGCAGCGCAGTTTTTCCTAGAGGACAAGGGGAGGGTGTTAACGCAGCAGTTGGGGACCAGGAGCCTGGGTTCCTGTTTCCCACGGATTCTAGCCTTGGGGGGAGGGCTTCTAGGCCCCTCAAAGGCGGGAAGCGTTGCCCTGGCGACCGCCAGTCAGCAGGAAGCGTTGCCCTGGGGACGTCACTGGCGCACTGGAGGGACAATGGGTATTGTTCTGGAGTCGGTGGGACCGGGAGACCTCCCTCTCCTCCCCACAGACATTCTCCCATATCCCAGTTTCCCGTGGGTTTGGACAGTCGCGTGTGTGTGTGTGTGTGTGTGTGCGTGTGTGTGTGTTTGAGAATTATGGGAGAAACTCAGCTACTCCGTACTGTCACCGTACAGCAGCAGGTTTACCACCAGATGGAGGAGCAGGGGTATGCCCTCCAACTGCTGCAGCCCTTCTCTGCTGCCCCTATATTTTGCACCTCATCTTACACGCCCCAGTTTCCTTAACTCTATGGCATGACATTACCCCCGCCCTTCCACACCCCATTTATCTCTGGCCCCGACATCTGCTTGGGCTGCAATCAGTTCTTCAACTAGGTCTTCCACTGCCAGCCTGGCCGCCAGCATCAAGGGTGTGGTCCCGTCCTCTGTACGTGCGTCCACTGCAGTCTGTCTGCTGCTGAGTAGGAGCTGTAAGGACAAAACCTGTGACCTCTGGGGTACCCTGGACTGTTAACTCAGGTCCCTCAGACTTTTAACCCTTTTACCAATCCATATGCAACTATCTTCCTTGTTTCAGGTCCTCAATCTCACATCAATTTCTTATGTCAAACACTAGAGGATGCTTCTACCCAGTGTAACTTGTAAGATCACCCTTTTCCTTTTGGGGACCCCAATGTATGCTTACCTGGCAGACCTCCCGTGCATCAGCAGCTACAGCAGCATGAAGTGGAGTACGCCCTGCCCGGTCTGGCTGGTTGGGGTTGGCTCCAGCCTCAAGGAGACGGTGGGCAGCAGTTGGTCTGGAGAATCGGGCAGCTAGGTGCAGAGGGGTCTCCCCAGTGCCCACTGTGTGAGCCTGGGGATAGGCCCCTCCATCCAGCAGAAGTTCCCAGGGCTCAGGACTTCCCAACCATGCTCCCTGAAAGGTCCTGGACTCCACTCTCCCACAGCAAACTGCAGACATCAGGGGTGTAACCCCATCTGTGGGTGAGAATGAGTAATGGGTCCATCAAAAGGACACAGGAGGAGGATCTTAGGGAGAATCACAAGAAGAGATATGAGGAAGCTAAGCTCTGGCTTTTGATTTTGTGCTTAAATGACTTTCCTACTTGAGCTTCAGTTTCCTCACCTATAAAAATAAGAAGGCCTTAATTCTCTTAACATTCTAGGACACTGATTCTCAAACTTGAGTCTGAATCAGACTCCCCTAGAAGGCTTGTTAAAACACATATTGCTCAATATCTCAATTTCAGAGTCAATAGCTTTGTAGTGGATCCTGATAATTTGCATTTCTAACAAATTCCAAGGTGATGCTGCATTTTGAGGACCATACTTTGAGAATCACTATTCTAAGTTACTCATTCCAACATTAGTTCCTCCAGTTCTGACACTAAAGGACTTTTCTGCTTTTAAAAGGATTAAAAAGCATTTTTTCATTTTCTTGGTCTGGGTTGGTTCATACCTGGTCCACAGGCATTCACATCAGAGACTTCTATCTCTGATTCCTGAGGAGGAGTCAGCATGGCCACTTGAGGGAGCTCCCCACAGCCACCACTCAGTGGCCACAGTTGGCACTTGGAGGGTGGGGCCATTTCTTCAGCCTTGGGGCAAAAGCAAGAATCAGTGAAGGCCATTGACTTGTTCTTTATTCTATCAACTTCATACTATTTCTGCCCTAGCCCTTTCACCTGGTTCACCTCTTCTTCCTCCTCAGGGCCTGAGCACATCACCACTCCATCCTCTTCCACTTCTGCCTCTGGCTTCAGTTCCCTGGAAGGAAGTGAGTTGGGTACAGGTTACACAAGTTAGGAACACTAAGAGTC